ATTTGAGACAACTGGACTAACTCCGTCTGCTGATTACGATCATGCGATATGACGGAAAGCCACAAAGAAAGGCTACAGAACAGCTACAAAATGGACCTTGAAGTGAAAGTTTACCTTATTTTTTTGGCAGGCCCAGCCATTGAGGTTAAGCAAGTAGTCAAAACGAGTATCCGATACGGATAATGTACTTTTTAGTATGAATATTATTAAAATGTGTCAATATACTCTATATTTATACTTTATTTATATTTATTTTTACTTTTGTGATCAAAAACTTCTCTCTGAAGCTCAATTACGAGGCTATTCTGTAAATAATTGTCTAATAAATATAGCAAATTCTTCTTGTTGGCCACGTCCACTTTTGGTTTCAGCACCACTACATCAGATAAGCCCCACTCATTCTTAGTATGGTTGACATTACAGATAATGTAGTTAGCTGAAGGCATATAGATACGAATACAGATAATGGTGTACCCGCTCATCCCTTATCTGCATCACTGCTGAAATGCTAGTTAGCTTAGCATGTTGCTTAATTAGGGGTTGGGTTATGATCATTGTGTATGGACCAATTACCCGACTTCTCACTTAATTAAATGGCTCAGTTAACGGTTTCCTAATGATTTTATGGTATCAAGTCTTCTTCAATACATTATGATGTTCATTTAGTAAATTATGGTCCAATTTAGAGTAAAATAAATGATAAAGCATGCTATGCTTTTGGGCCGTGTCTACTTTGTACCTGCAGATGAGTAAAAACTCTGCAGCCAATGAGAGCTGCTCAATTCGCAGTACATCACCTCAGCTGGCTCCAACAAACTGTCATGGCAATGAACATAACCCCAAACTCAAGGCTTTAAAATGGTACTGGGTGACGTCACAATAGGTTCACAATAACTGGTGTTGTCTAAAATGGCTGTATTGAACTCTTAGTGAGCTGATATTGAGCTGCTGGGCCCCTGTTAACCCCATGTGTACATCTTATAAGCTAGAATACCTGGTGCCTGATGTGCTGTGTGGAGATTTGATTAAACATTAATTTAGAAATGTGCAACAGATAAGCAAAAAACTGAAATAATGAAGGTTAAAACTTCAAGACAGGGTTTCCAGGGTAATAAAGAAGGACCCAATGTCGATCAGTATTATCCTTCAGGAGCTTTCCGGGGCCCTAAAGTTCTGTGGGCCCTGGGCAATTGCAGGGTTGGTTGATAATACAGCCTTAGAAGCAAGTTCTCCTCTGAGCTTCAGGGACAGTTCTGGCTCCCGATGGTTGAAAAATCAATATAGCTTCCTCTTCTAAGACAACTAACAATATTGTATTGTGGAATGTGGCTGCAGAGTTCCCAATGATTTTTCCTCCCAATGATTTTACATCCCAATCTTTATACTGTTTTATGAAGTTACAGCAAGGTACATTTTAACAAGGTGGGGGCAGAGCAGAAAAAAAGGCACAGAGAAATAGTTATAGAATATGGATATTTACCGTTGTGACTGACACCTTCTTCTGTTACCTCACAGGTCCATACTGCAGCAAAATAACCAGATGCAGCAACAACATGGTCATGTACAGGAAAGAGTAATGGCCAGTGGGGGAACTCAAACATTGGACCAGACCAGTTGTGTAACTTCCTCATTCGCTCAGTAAGTCATGGAGTTTTACTTCTTTAGGTCTGGGCCTGCCAAAAAAAGGAAGGAAAATCTCTCACTTTAAGGTCCATTTTGTAGCTGTTCTGTTGCCTTTCTGTCTACCTTTCCGTCAAATCTCATGATTTTAATCAGCAGATGGAGTTAGTCTTTTGCAGGAATTCTGTTGTGTAGTGCAACTGAATCTTATCAGCATGTATGTCACCATTCAGGTTAAGCGAGTAGTCGGCTGAAACGAGTATCCAGTATAGATAATGTACTTTTTGTATGAGTATTATTAAAATGTGTCAATATGCTCCATATACATATACTTTTATTTAAAAAAAAAACTTGTTCTATACTTGTCTTACTCTTGCTGAAAAGTTATATAACGGTTAAGTGTTTTCCTGAAAATATCAATGACATTTAATTTACATTTAGTTTTTTTTTCATGACATTGCAGTGCATGACTCACAAATGACAAATCCCATCTAACTCCCTTCAGGGCTTTCTTTCTTTGGGCCACATGGCTGAATAACATCAAAACTCATTATTTTAATCATTCAGCACAGTTGTTGTGTCTTGAGTATTGACTCAATCATAATAATTGAATTGGTTTTAAAGTCAAATTACGTTACGGCGTAGCTGCCTTGAAACCAATAACAATTAAGGTGTCGAGACACATTAGGCAATAATTAATTGATGACTTTTATAGTGGAAAACATAAATGTTAATTGGGCAAAAAAAATAAAAACAGCTGATGCGGAAATGTCATCAATTTGAAAATCTGCTGTCATATTGAGAGAGATAAAAGTCCATTTGCCACAGTTGGGTGCACTCAATAACAAGATTGTGTCACTGTTGGAGCTGTCAGATAAAAGCAGCCCTTTGGATTTGAAAAACTGAAAGGCAGACACTCTGGTTCGGCTCATGTACTTTTCAGGAATATGCATCTAATTAAACACACAAACACATTCAGAGGGAGTGAGAAATAGTGGCTAATAGCTACAGTAGTTTGTTTCTCCAGCACCCCTGACAACAGCTCGGACACATTTTCTTCAAGGCAAGCAGCACAAATTAAAAGGGCAGAGTCCTTTCAGTTAATGACTTTGGTAATAGGCTTGCAAAAAACAATGTAACAAAGTCAGAGCGAATGTGGCCACAAATACCACCTCGTCAGTCACAAAGTCAGAGGCTGGCGGTTAGCTGATGGGATAAGAGGAGGAAGAGTTAAGTGATACTGTAGAGTCCTGCTGCCCTCTGTTGGCTATGCATCCATATCAAACAGTGTTTTACAACTAAGTTGGAACAACTTTCTACTTTTTGTGAAGCACAGATCATTGTTTAAAGTCACGCAACTATCACTGTGCTGTGTGTAGTGACCACTGTGTGTGTCCCTTTGTGTGTGGTCCTGTAGAAAATTATCTCTAGAACACCTCCAGGTGTCAAGGCAAACTTCAAAGCTTACTGTGAAATGTGTCTGTGATGTGACATTGATTAGATTTTTAATGCTTGGATTGAACTGTGATGAAATGTTCCTTCTGGCAGAAGGGGAATGTGGGGATGTCCTCGGTAGCATTTATAAGGTCGCTTACCTTGAGAATAAGGAAAGATGTTACGGCAAAGTGTATACTTTAGCGTTATTAAGTGTATTAGGTTTCATTTCTTTTTTATTATGAAGCAGTCGCAAAAGAAAAGATAAAACCTGAGGCCTAAAGATATTTATATTTGTATTTATTTTTATCTTAAGTACATAATTTGACATTTTTGACATTTGTCAGTACGATTGTGTGTACGATTTAGTGACATCTAACGGTGTAGTTGCTGATCACAACTCCGTCACTTCACACTATTCTCCCTATCTATAGCCCCTCCGGCAACTGTAGAAATATGGCGGTTCAACATGGCAGACGACCCGCAGCGTATGTACTTATAAACATCTCATTATAAAGTAACAAAAAACATAACTATTCTTATATTCAGGTGATTATACAGTCATGAAAACACACCTATGGATATTATATTTAATTTCTGCCAAAAGATCCTCCTGAATTTTACACACTGGACCTTTACAACTATGTGTTAGTTTATGTTTGTGGTGAAAAATTTCAGTAGCAATAACGTCATGCATTGCTTGGTGTTTATATCCTCGAAATGAATACGTTTGTTTTTTTAATTCGACTGCATAATCAGAACTGATGAAAAAATGTGATGGAATATAGAAACAGGGATAACCAGGCATGCTTTTGAATAATATCTGGACGGTGTTCATATATTATGTAGTTAAAGATTGAAGCTGGAGAGAGGACTTCTATGACGTAATGATTTTTATTTTTATTTTAACAGATGTCACATTGTGGTCTTAACTCAATCTTGATCAAATATAGTTACCGCATTTTGGCTTTGATTTTTTTTTTGTCCTTTGTTTTCCAGGAACTCAATGAATTATGTTTTTCCTGTTTAGGAAGTCAAGTGGCTGATTACTAGTCAGATAAACATGTAAAGAACTAATTCCCGCCCCTCTACACACATGCTCAAACAGTTAATGTCGTCACTGTCTATAAATAATTTGTAGTGGGGTTTTTTTTGTCAAACATTGAAACAGGCCTTGATGTACAAGCACTTCCACTAACTTATTTAATGTTGACACCTATCAAACATATACTGTTAGTTTAACAGTGAATGTCTGGGATCTGTAAGTCTGAGTGTGGCAGAGGACAGCAGCTGCTTCAGGTAAGGATGTTAATTCATTGTGTAAACACACAACTGCAATTACTGCTGCACTGATGACGCCTGACAACATGGACTTTGGACCAAGGTATGAAAAAGGAAGACAATCACACTTGTATCCTGTTGGCCTGCACTTCTTAAGGCTGTTTTGCTTCTGTAAGTTAAAAATTTAGATACTTGAAATACCTTGATATACAATTTGAATGTATACTGACTTGTACTTTGATTGAGAAATACCTTAAAATATTTTGTTTAAAGCAGATTTGATTAAGGTTTGTTCAGTTGTCTTTCAAAGAACATTTTATAGACTGCCGCATTAGGTGTTACACATTCAAATGTTATATTGGTCTGTCAAACATTTACATAAGGTTCCAGTATCCAGCTCTGTAAAAACTGGTTTATATGATACTTCCCTCTTCTTCATAAAAATTCCTGTTTTAATCCTCTGAAATGTGATTGTTTTACATAACTGTACAGTACCACAAGGTTTTTGCAAGTTCAACAATGACATACAGCCACCTAACAAAGTGGTCAGGTCAGATCCAATGTCCAAACATAAAAAAAACCTGAAGACAGAAGAGTCATTGACACAACTTAGTGTAAGGATTTAACTTCCTGTACAAATATATTCAAAGCAGAAACAACACCACCACATTTTTTTATTTTAATAATTTTTTTGTATGAATACATCTCTGCACTTCAAAATACAATGCCAGGATGTATTAGAGCAAGATACTTCAAGGACAAGATCTTTTCACGGCTCCCAAAGGATTGACTGTAACTTTGGTGACCCCTGCTGAACTGTGTTTAACATTGTAGTCCACAACAACGTATCCTACAAAGTGCAAACATATTTAAATGCAGTTTTCTGAAGATATGTTATGTATTTTATGCCCACATTACACCAAGTAGGAAGAAAACTCACCTGCAGCCACTGATAACTGTAATATTCACCTGTTACACCTGTCAGCTGCATCATGTTAAGATAAACAACTATCTTGCCTCATGTTATTTGCTATATGTTAGCATTTTTGCAACTAACACTGACACATACTGCTGTCAATCAGTGACAGTCGTGGAAATAATCTAATATTTGTTTAAGGTGTATTGTTAATGTGCTGCAGCGGGTCTATATTTGCATCTCTCCCACTGTCTACTGATGTCAACTCTGAGTTACTTCCTCACCAAATACTGCATTTCACTATTCAAACAGTATCGTTATTCTTCTCAGTTGTTGCTGAAGCTGTTTGGAAGAAAAAGTGTTACTTATGGTTTCATGTTTACATCACATTAATTTAAACTTTAGACAGACACACGTTTAAAATACAAAAAAATGAGTTATATGTGAGCATTTTCTTTTACTTTTAAAACATTTAACATGAGTGGGTACACTGACATATTGGATACTGTTAGTGCTTCTCAAAGGGTTGTTGATACATACTTTTTACTGTTATCATGTGTTTTGGCGTTGGTGATATTGGTGGCCTTGGCAAGCTCGGGATGTAGAAAGATACTGTCTCGAGTGGATAATGTCAGCTAATTCATCCAGACTCTAACTAACTAATAACTGTTGTAATATATGTAACATTATCACAATGTTGCAATTTTTTTTGTAAAACAGTGGCAATAGAAATTGGGCTGTTGTTAGCAAACCAACCAACTGCCGTATTACCTCTCACATTAAGAGCACACATTTGACACTACACACATAAATTTATAATAACAGATAACAGTTACTGTCTTCGAGGTAGAAGCAGGAGTATGAGAGGTTAGATTAAGCTAAAACCACTATTCATACTCCTTTCAGCTGCTTTTTCATACAAATTAAAGCCAGCAATGCAGTTTAGAGTCGTCTTTTCAACATCCTGCGTTCATACAGAAACTATTTGTTTCCTGAAATCATTGAGAAATCCGGGTTTTTATAAATGATGTCTGTTTTTTCATCATCAAGTCACCGCACAATTTATAGACTACAGTCACTGAAAACATAATTTATTGGAAATTGGTAATTGAGCTGTTGTTTGTTATTAACAAAACGTCAAACAATCATAATTAATTTTGGTGTTGTAGTTGTAGTTATTATTAGTAATACTTCACATCAACAGCTTTGATGTGCTCAAGTTATTGTTTTGTACAAACAGAAAACAATTGACCATACATAAATAAAGAACAAATCCTGGAAAATTTTAATAGGATTACAGATAGCTTGTAACAATGGTGCCATCTGTTTGGGGCGTTCCAATATAGTCTATCCAAGTTGGGACAAAGGTCATCTGGAGAACGTATCATTCAGCCACTAAATATGCTGTAATAAGGAACCAAACATTCAAACATAATTGCCGATGTAAAAACAAGAGTAACATATGAATGAATTTCATTATTTATATGTTTCCCAAATTTGAAGAAAAACAGATGAATCTCTTAAAGGCTCACAAAGTAGATACCAGTGTCTTTATCAACCTGTTAAACAACTGTCCCCTTTTGTTCCCGGTGGGTGTGGTGTTCTGTCAGTCTCTCCGATGTTTCCTTTGTTGTATCCTCAAACTGTGTGGGAAAACATAGGGAAGTGAGATAAACATACATGCCGGGGGCCAATGACATGATGCATCCTGTACAGTGGGCTATCACAGCCTCAAAGTTGAACAGAGGTGATGTATGGGACAGCACTGACAAAATGTGATTGGAATTTATGACCTGATCAACTATTACTTGGTAAAACACCACAGCCGCTCTCTCAGAATGATAAACATCTTTTTAGAATTTTAAGAATAATGAGAAAAATGGTTGAAACCAGAACAACCACAGCTTAGTAAATGGATAAATACAATTAATGACATTTCTAAAATGGAGGTCATAAACTATAATATCAGGAATCTTGTTATTCTGTTTGAAATGAGATGGAAGTGGCCAGCCTTCACTCCCCACGTACATCAGTGAGCCCATGACCCTGTCTCCCAGTTCACGCTTTCCTTCCTTGGCGACCACTTTGATTACATTACTGTCCACATGCAGACCGGGAACACCCCCCCCCAACAGAAGCTGCAGTTGTGAGGATGCTCTTGACCCAGTCGTTCTAGCCATCACAATTTGGCCGCTTATCAAAGTCGCTAAAATCCTCACGCTTGCCCATTTTATCTGCTTCAAAATCAACTTTGAGGACAAATGTTCCACTTGCTGCCCTAATATGAGTCCACCACGCGTCATGACAAGGTGGCGATGGATAACAAATAATATGTATATTCACTTCACCATCATCAGTGCTCATAATGTTATGGCTGATCGGTGTATATACTTTAAGATATTCCCTTTTTTAACTTATCAACTCATTTACTAACTCTTTGCATTGCATTACTATTATTATTATTATTATTATTATTATTATTATTATTATTATTATCATTATTATTATTATTTACTGTTAGTGATATTGTTTTATTATGATTATTATTATATTTTGAGAGGATGGGATTGTGAGGTAGGAATGAACTTATAGTAGTAATTAACATACACAAATGTTGGTTGTATTACATGCTTTGTTTTACTTGTTTGAAAAGTAACTACTGTAAGGGGTTACTCATCAATAAATAAAGGTAAAGTATTTAAATAAAGTATGAGGCATAAGTGTTGTGGTGAGACTACGGCTTCTTCAGTACAACAAAATACCTAGACATTTTGTGTTAAATTCAAATATCCTTGTGATGTTCATTGTTATTATGCTGCCCATATAATGCTGCTATTCACTTAAACATTCTGCTTACAGCTTCCTGATTGGTTGCACTATTTATATCATTCAGCTTGCCAGATTCATAGACAATACCTCGGAAATTACACTTAAGCAGTGTGCAGATAAGCAGCCAAACAAAGTTTAAATAAACTTTACACAACCGGATGGATTTGTCCCTAAATCACTGACAGAGTGAGACCATTCCTTTTCAAAGGCAGATAAAGACTGATTTAACATGTTTTGACTGTCCAACTGCAGATGCTTTCCCACAGTCCAAACACAAGAACAAGTGCTCATGAAGATGTGTGAAAGGGAGCAAATGCCTTCAAAATAATAGAGACAAATACCTACAGGTGAAAGCATCATACCTCAAAAAACAATACTCGTGTTTTCTTCTTAACTTTTTTAAAATTACTTTCAAATCAGGGCACTTTAGTACATACTGGTAGTTCAGATGTTGTAAAGCCATGAACAGATTGCCATCTTGATTTTTTGTAATGGTATCAACAAGGGTTGAGTAGTAATCGCAGTAGTATTATCAGTAACAGTAGCGGTATTATCATGGCACTATGGTCTGTCCAAAGCTTGAAATAATGCATGCATACAGTGCATACAGTGGCATGATTCACTTTTCATCTTTTACCATATGGGAGTACCACATGTGACAAAAGAAAGCTTTGTGTTGTAGTCACAGCAGTGGCATTGCTCTGGGGATAGCATGGTTGGTCTGTTGGTTAGTCCACCACTTGGATTCATAATGAAATATTTCAACATCTACTCAATATATTGGCCATTACATTTTAGAGGATGACTGTGAAGAATTTCTTGAGAGAGAGAAGAAAGCAGCTTGGCTGCTCATGTGCTCATATTTTGGGACACAAACAAATTAGAGCCATGCAGTGGTTTTTCAGACAGTTTACAGCAGTGATCTCAAACTGCCGGCCCAGGGGGCATTTGCGGCCCTCCAACCCCCTCCCTCCGGCCAGCCCACATGATTTTTTACAATATATTTTGTCACGTTGTTTCATATCAGTATAAAGTACCTCTTCATGTACATTTAAAATAAAAACACAATTCTTTCTTCTGTCTTTTCGGGCCTTTATTTGTTGTTTGGCTGCAAACAACAAAAATGAAAATGATGACATAATATGTATAGAAACTGCTGTTTGCATTTTTTATTACTGCGCTTTCTTGTTGTGCTTGAATGTTGAAGTGGCCCTCCTATGAGATGATAATACCAACAGTGGCGCCAAGCCAATTTGGGTTTGACACTCCTGGTTTACAGTATTATCATCGACAGGACACACATGGACTATTGGACTATAGGTTTTATACATTAATCATCATGCAATGAACCCGTCAGACGGATAATGGTAACAGGTACAAGGCACCATCAAAGAATAAGCAACTAACTGAAGTCTGGCACACAAATTCATGTTTCCTCTGGATTAATTGAAATAACTAAGCCAATTCATCCAGATTCATTGCTTGATCTGGCTGGTAAATTGTCCGGCTTGCCGTTTGCAGATAATCTCTGTGCTGCAGCTGGCTGTCTAACCTAAGCTTGCTTTCACTTTAATGTGAGTGGATATGTTGTTTGGCCAGTTTGCAAAATTGCTCAATTGCTTTAGCCAACATAAATGACAATACAAAGTAGAGGTATAGGTGATAACTAACATAACCAAACAAGTGCCTGCAGTGAAGGGGACAGATTAACAGCCAGAGCTTTGTTGAGGCATGGGACTGGGAACACCTGGTGGGGGTAATTCCCTCCAGGTATCTGAATACCAGGCTGACAAAAGACAGACAGGACAGGGAAGGGCTTGACTTTCATCTGCAATTATTTCTATGTCCTCAGGTAGGAAAAAAAGAGGGTCTGAACCAAAGTACAGAATACTTATTTAACTCTGTAGAAGAACTGTAGAAGAACAAAGAAAGAAGTCAGAATAATATATGAGGGCTTTTTTTCAGATTTTTAAATAGAAGGAAAAGAGGTATAGTCTCCTCCTATTTGAAAATGTATTTTATACAAATCTTGTGTGTCTGTTTTATAAATATTTCTCACTAAAGGAAAGGGGTGAACCAGTAGAAACCTTCTGATAACTAAAATAAAAAGCATGCAAGAATTAGTTGCATGCTTACTATCAGCAACACAGCTGTAATGAATGGAGACATGCTGCAGATTGTAGGCTACTACTAAATTTTATGCAGCATTTCCTGGTAACATGTTATCTGTATGCAGGAGTATTGTAACTAGCAGCACCAAATGTGTACATAAGCAAAGCCTGTGTTATAAACATCTTCTCCCTAAACCCTCTCCCATGAGTGAACTGCTCTTACCTTGGCGGTGCACCCTGCTGCTTAACTGTCAACCGCTGTGATAACCAGGCGAAAATTCAATGTGTAGAGTGAGATAAAAAAATAACCGATATTAAGTCAGAGAGTAAACAAAAAACAACGTGAGCAGAAATATGTGGGCACTGCCTTATGTAGCACTGAAGTGACGTTCTTCAGTTTTTGCATTAATTAGAGTGATCATTAAAAAGTTCAGTCTGTCTTTCAGCTCTCCTGTGGTGGTACTCTCTTAAGTCGGATGATGCCATCAGGACCTTGTTTTTCAAGAATGTTAATGTAAAAAACAGACCCGGTTAAAGGGGGGGTAGTGCAAACAGTATTTCATGGTTATGATGGGAAAATGTCATGTCAAGATCTTTTAAAAACACCTATGTGGGCATGTGTGTGTGTGTCTGTTGGCTACTGTGTGAGATAACAATCATTCATTTTGACAACTTCAGGCCAAAAAACATCAGCTTGCACTGACTATTTTACCTTTCTAGTGGTGGGCCCCTAATTCCCAGTTTCTCAACTTTTTAACTAAAAAATACCTTCAGAATATTATTTCAAGCATAAAAAGAACTCACTTTTCCAATGCAAATCCAAACTTCTTTACTAAAAGTAAGGCATATGCATCCATAAGCAGACACTTCCCTGAAAAACATCAAGGTTTTTCAAAGGTCAGTAGGCCAAAAGCTACCATGGAGGGGTCAATTTCCATACTTCTGGGGCCATGATCTTCCTTTTGTTTTGGTACTGAAACCATGTGGTCAAAGAACCTGACTGACCCAGGAGGCTAAACGGGGGCAGAGGAGTTCAGAAATATTAGAAGATGCCTTCAACCTTAGGCATATTCTGAAGCCCATATCGGAATAAATGGTGGATGTTAACATTACTTAACAGTGAAATTGTTCACCGTTGAACCAAATTTGAACAGGTTAACAACTAAGTGGATTGTGTGACATGAAGTCAAAACTTTTTGTTTGAATAATGACTTTACATTTCCGCATCTATGCCTCAGCACAAACATCTGACAAACAGATGGCACACTATGCCTAATCAATACTCTGTAATCTTTTGCAGATTGTCAAATTTGGCTTGATAGGCTCTTTGAACCCAGAGATGTAGTGCTGCATTGCATCAATTTTCACACATTCTGTTGTACTTGATAGTTATTGTGAGGCAAATTTAAAATAAAGTGTTCTTTAGCATCATTCAGGTTCACGTTCGTAATTACCTTTTACCCTGTATGGCCAGAGAACATATTGTCTCACTCTAATCAGACACCTTAAATCAAACAAAGGCCTATTTAAATAACCACTGTCCAATAACTTTCATAATAAAAGATTTCTGTGCTTAAGCTCTATATGAATTCACCGATCAGTCATAACATTATGACCACTGACACACTTAATAACACTTATCTGGTTATCATGGCACCTGTCAGTGTGGGATATATTAGGCCAGCAAGTGAACCATTTGTTGTCCTCAAAGTTGATTGTTAGAAGCAGATAAAATGGGCAGCGTGAGGATTTGTGTGATTTTGGGCCAAACTTGTGATGGCTAAGACGACTGTGTCAGAGCATCCCAAACCTGCAGCTCTTGTGTGTTCCCAGTCTGCAGTGGACAGTACTTATCAAAAGTGATCCAAGGAAGGAAAAGCAGTGAACTGGAGACAGGGTCATGGGTGGCCATGGTTCACTGATGGACGTGGGGAGTGAAGGCTGGCCCGTGTGGTCCGATCCAACAGACAAGAGCTCAAACTGCTGAACAAGTTAATGCTGGTTCTAAGAGAAAGGTGTCAGAACACACAGTGAATCGCAGTTTGTTGCGTATGGAGCTGCATAACATGACCACCCACATGCACAGGTGGTCATAATTTTATGGCTGATTGGTGTATATCCTATTACTTATGTCACTGTTTCCTCACCCAATGGCAATTCAAAGGAGAAACATCCTATTGAAACTGAGGTCACTACTGATTGCATTTTCCTGTTATGTTTAACATATAGATGTTTATAGTGCTTTGGGGCTACCGTAGCCCATTCAGCGCAAACTACAGGGGGACAGCATTAGACAATGGATATATTTCCTATAACCTATTCATAGAATTAGGACAGCAGATGAAAAGGGGTCTTGATTTTGTTCTTCAATAGGGTTTTTCTTTGAAGATACCGTATATTTAGTTTTTGTTTGTATTGCACCAGCTGCATTATAAGCATTCTAAAAGCTACTGTGGCTATAAAACAAAACACTCTCTGGGCTTACACAGGGAAGTGGTAGACTCATAGTAACACAGGCATGTGACCTTCAACAGTCTGTAGAAAACGAATAAGTACTCTTCAAGGTTAGTTAAACTTAGTTGTTCCTTTCAAACTGCTCAGAAAAAAAAAATACAATTGGCAGGCCCTCGGGTGTGTTGCAGTAAAAATGTGGTACAGGGCAGCGAGAGAGTTCGTCTGCAAATGTTCAGATAAGATCAATAGAGGCCACATCAAACATTGCCTCTGTGTAGGGTTCACCTTCACTGCAACAGTGGTCTCAGTTTGTGCACTATATGCCAAGAAAGCCAGAAGGCCCTAACTATGTTTCCTACAAATACAGATTCTGATAATAATGGGTTAGGATACGTTCATATTTTTGTCAAGTCAGTCTTAATACAATACTCACATGCCCATGTGTACGTTGAAACAGATTTGGTCACTGTAATCATCGCTCTTGTCCATACAGGCCTTGAAGATATCTCTTTCCCCAAGTGATTCCAGTGTAAAAGACGATGGGCAGTGTGTCAGGGTTGAATGCATCATGTCTCATATGCTGTGCTCTTTCACCGGGTCACCTCCGAGCTGTATCCTCTCACCTCTATACACTCTGCTGCTTATGGTTGACAGTTTTGTCCAGTGACCTGATAAGCAAGCCACACTAAATATCTGTGTCAATAGAGGAAGTCTGTTATATTCAGGGACAGCAGTTTCTAAATGACTTCTGTGAACTCTGGATATAAAAGAAGAGGAAGAAGAAGAGGCCAGTCATGTCAGTGTCACACAAGCACTGGATTCTCTGCATCATTCTTAGCTATCATGCCATTAAGTTGTTAAATCCCAGTAATGTGTCAGCTGACAATGAATTAGTGTTAGGTAATTAATATATATATCGGGAAAATTGCGTCATCACAGAGTCACAAGTTATGAGGCAGAATGGGGATGATAGGGCTACCACAGAAAAAAAGGAAATGCAGCTACAGCACCAGACTGAGAAATTACTTAGAACTGGTTGAAGCCGGTGGAAAGTGACCATAAGAACAGTTAAACTTTAGCTTCCTTTTATTCTTACTGTATTTGCATTCAAATAAAATACAATACATCACGTTAAGGCCTGACCTGTAACCTGAATCAACCAGAGGACTAACAGATGTTACGAGCTAAGGGGCCCTGTTTATTTTATTATTCAAGTTAGATCAACTTTTTATTTTATTTTAGACTACCTCACAGTATTGGTGACATGTCCCACTTTGTCCTACACAAACATACTTTACATACTCTACACATTTGGTTTGTTGGGATTTGGTTGCCCTAATTTACAAAACCATGACGACAAAGATGAACAAAAATAAACTATTATGAACTTACATGCGAGTGGTAACAAGTAATATTATATTGTCAAATGGTCTGTATATCTGTATATAAGTACAGCAAGTAAAGTAGCCAAATTCAAAATTGTACTCAAGTACAATGTAGCCTAAATGTACTTAGTTACATTCCACTACTGATTACATTAATTTATTGAAACTAGGTGAAAGTGCAATTAAAATATTTACTACGGGGGGTAAATAGTAACTAATAATAACATGCTAACTGATTTATACATGGTTCGATATCTGGGTTAGGTAAATATTGTACTTTTTATTTGTCATTAGACATTACAGGTTCTGATTATAATATTAACAAATACATCAGCTAATAAATCACAATGTTTTATTACAGATTTGGTTACACAGCAGTATGCGATGTAGTCAAATGAGCTCCAGCTTTTCCAGCTGCAGTATGAAAATTGCACATTAAAGCATTTATGTTTATTATCCTAAAATCGGTCATTGTGGATCAGTACTTTTACTTTGGGTACTTTCTGGTAAGTATATTTTGATGTTAATACTTGTGTGCTTGTACTTTTTCTATTTCTACATGTTGTAAAATGTCAGAGAACTTCCTTCACCATTGCTTATTTTCATGAGGCATTGTTGGAGGTTGGAGTTTTCAGAAAGTGCAGAAAGCACCTGTCACACCTCTTCATCTGTCTATCCACTGTCAACTTCTTCCTCAGATTCAATTCAATTTCAGTTCATTATGCTTTAGTAGAGTGTGACAAGGGCAACGTTGCCCAAGCATTAATATGTTCAATTCAATAAAAAATGCATTCATAAAATCAAAGAAAACGGCTCAGGAAATATTAAACACTTGCTCTGTGTGTTGAAGACAACATCAAGTCTTTGTGGTTTGGTGGTGAGGAGCTTTTGAAGCCGGAAGTGTAGTGTAAAGCAACCGACTTGTTGCTTATACTGCATTTGTTGATGTAGTATAGATACGGCGCTGTGTTTATAAAACAAACGCCTACAATTACCAGACATTAACCGTGAAAGCATAGTAAACAACTGTTGACTGTGTGATCACCACGGTAGCGTAAACAAAGGCAGATAATTACACCACACTTACGCCTCTCAGCCTAAAAGCTGCAACAGAGCTGTAAACTTTTATTAAAAAATTATTTAACCGGGTGTCCTTGAAGCGCGCACCAAAGGCGCAGGCGCATGCGCGTGTACGGCCACAGTCCCACCCCACGGGGGGGCACAAACTCGTGAACCAATCAGCGTCCTCCTCGCTCGGAGGGAGGGCGCGGGACTTCACGGCTGTCTACAAATACTTCGTGGCATATGTTTTTTTTTGTTGTCTTGTATACGCTTTTAGGCTGCTGCCACCTCAGACCGATTTAACCCCGGCTACACTTTTATGGTTAACCACTTCAGACACACACAAAAAAACTTTACGCTTCGGTAACTTCTGGAAACCGGCGAGCTGACAGACACAACCGTTACTCCAGCCCAGAAGAAACTTCTCAACAACAACAACAACAACAACAAAAAGGGAGAGAAGCAGCGTGGCAAGAAGAAGTGTGGAGCTCCTTGATATCACAGCCTGAGCAGACACATCTCTCTCTCTCTCTGCTGCTCTCAACGGACGGACGCTACAGTTTTCATTCATCCAGAAAAGGAGCCCACCGCGCAGCCCCATCTCTCTCTCTCTCTCTGTGTGTGTGTGTGTGTGTTTGGCTACCACCTGCAGACATGACAAGAAGATCCTGCACGATATATGCGGTCGGGATCATCTGTGCCACCCTGCTGGTCGTTGGGTTTGGCTTGGTTGTGGGTCAAGTTTTCCGCACGTTAATGCACAACCGCCTCAAGAAGGTAAAAAAAAAAAAAACTAAACACCAAACTTTTATAAAGCAATTTGAATGAGAAAACATTGTTCTAATGATGGGATTACACTGTGTGCTGTCCCTATCTTTAGTGCAGACCGTTACACTCATTACATTACAGGTCAGTGAGATCACACCAGGGGGCTTTGACTCAAATGCTCACTGCATTGTGATTCAAATGTGCCAAAGAAAATGAACAATAACACACTTAGCAGTCCAGACTTTGTCGTCTTCTCTGCTGCTGTTTGTTTATTAGCATTAACTTTATGGTTTGTGGTTAATTGACATTAATGGGTTGTGTGTCGAAGGAGTGGCTCAAACTCTTGGAGATGGAGGAGGATATTGAGAGCTCAGCGACCTTTATTGTGCAGTCAGTGCTTTCTTTTCCCCCCACAATTAGATTAGTCAGCCACTTTTTGTTTCAGTCACAGGTCCATTTCCATTTCCATGCATTCAGTCAGATGGTAGATCCAAAGAAATCCCTAATGGCCCAGTGATTTGTGTCTCTGCCTGCAGTAATTGCCATTATGACAGGAGTTGGCTCCGAGGCAAATTCCACAGCTAAGAACAAGGGAGTGCCTGGTCAGTATCGCTTGTTCTTGGTATTGGTCAGCACACATCACAAGAAAAAAGCTTGAAGTCCACTGCTGAGAGGAAATCAGTGCATAACGAGAAAAAGTTAAACTTTCTGAATCAATGGGAACTTTTGTCCACGCCACTGAACTACCTGTCAGCAAAGATGTAGTTTGTAATTGAGTGGAGCTGGTCACACGTTACGCGCTGATGTGGTTTGATTTACAAAGCCTCACTCAGAGAGATTACTGAAATTCATGTATTAATACGGGTAATTAGAGTTAAGCAGCATGATCTGAACTCTGAAGAACAGCCTCCAAAATAAATATGTGAGAGGTAAAGAGGTCATCTTCTGTTCATGACGTTAATGACATCATTTCCTTTGAGGGAAAAAATATTGAATATAAAGTTTCAACTTCTTATTATTTTCATTCTACATTAATTATTTGGTCTATAAAATGTCAGAAATTGTGAAAAATGTCTCTAAAACACTTGAAACACAATATTTTTTTTGCTTTAAAATTGGCTCAAACAATGAATCGATTATTTCAGTAGCCGTTATCGGCTTATCGATTAATCGACTAATCGTTTCATGTTTAATTAAAAATTGATAAGTCACACTGTAAATGAATCTGCAGATTTATTTTCTGTATGTAAATTAATTATTTGGTGCAAACACTTTAGGAAATAGGACTATCCCTGACTAAAGATTTTCCTAGTTCTTTAGTAGTCGTTCAATATTGTATTAGTAAGGGGAAACAGCAGTAATTACCAGCAGGGAGACTGAACGTTTAGTTCATAGTGAGAAAATGTTTCCTTTATTTGACTCACAATCAAAAACCCAACTTTGCACCCGGGAAACTTCCACTATGTTGAGTGACATGCAGTGTCTTTGGTGAACAGTGAATGTATTTCTAAATTTGCTTGTTATTTATTTAATTTTTGCGTTTGTCAAAGTCGTGATCATGTTTTCTTCTTTACTTGCTTGTGTTTCCTGAAGTCTTGAGGAAAAGCAGTGGCTGATGATGAAAGGTTTCTATAAATTGTTTACAGATGAGCTGAGATTAATGTAAAAGAAGCGTGTTAACAAGTGAAGTTTTCTCAGTTGTGGCCCTCAACTTGGCAAATGCATCTTGTTGTTTGATCTATAATGGGAGTGCCGATAGCAGCTGCTCACGGCTGGTTAGCTCAGTTAGTTCTGACCACTGGTAGCTGTATTCTGGTACACTGAGCTGTAACCAGTGTGTCACTCTAGCTGGCGATCCCTAAATGATTCCTCTGCCGCATTTCATTTTTCAAATTAGCCAGGAAGGAGGGAGCTAGCAGATTTTAGGGGTTTAGTTACATTTTATTGGACCAGTGTGAAGGATTTAGCGCCACAGCTGACGTCTGTATTTGACGACCTGGGAATGAGAACGGGCTGTTCTATGCAGGAGAAACTATGGTGGCCGTGAAAATAGCAGAAAAGTACGAAAGACCCTCTCTAGAGCCGGTGTTTAGTTTAGTACGTTCTGGGCTACCGTAGAAACGTGGCGGTTCAACATGGCGAACTCCATGGTAGTCTCATTCTAAGGTAACATAACCACAAGAATTCCTATATTCAGGTGATTATACATTAATGAAAACATAGTTATCTGTATTATATTCCATTTCTCCTAAACGTTACACACTGGACCTTTAAGTAAACATCGATATTCATTCAGCAAATACAGACATCTGTAGTAGTTCTGTTCGGGTTGCATCAGTAAACATGTTTGAGAAGTTTTTGGGTTTTTTTTTTTTTTACATTTACACTAATGAACTTCATACCTTTGATCAAAAAGTCCTGAGATTTCCTGGATTTCAAATATTTCAGACTGTGTTAGTAAGTCAAGTTCAAAGCTTTCCCAGAAGGTTCACTTTACTTTGATAACAGAGTAAGCATGAAACTACTGCTGGCCCTCGTTCAGTGTTATCATATGGCACACCTTCATCCTTATTTTCATATCCAACCTGCTTCTTCATAACAGGTATCAGATGGCTTTTACCAGAGAGGCTTAGTATTGACTTTAGAGGTTAGGACTCATATTCTCAAGGCGTTCTAGTGCTGGGAATTGGACCTAATGCAGAAAATTGTTCAATTGAAAGAAAATTACATTTTCTTTGACTTTTATAATTGTTTCTAAGGCAATTGGCAGCAGGAGATATCAGTATGTTAATCATATGCTGCAGATGCATGGCAGTGCTTGAAATCGAGACCATCGGGCAAAAGGCGAGAAATATATTCAAATATATTGTAATTGATTCCCTCAGAGTAATTGCAGTCCAAGGCTCTTCTGCCAGAAATGCCGGGGTCTCTCCCTCTCCTCAGGCAGTCATTAGGTGTGGCTGGAGGGGTATGTTTGACCTTCTTCTTTATCTCTGGATATCTGGATTAGTGTGTTGCTGTAGCTTATGTGTAAATACTTAGTTTGAGCTTGTAAATACTTAAATAGTTTGCTTGATCTTCTCACTTCCTTGTACATTTTAAACTTTTTACTTGAGTACTACCACTGAGTTTGCAATTATTTGGCTAAATACTAAGAAAGTGTGTGCATACCTGCCGGAAACAGGTATTCATTTACACTGCATTTATTAAACAGTTAGAAATAAACAATAAACAGTAACTTAACAAATGACTAAAAGAATGGTGAAAACTGATTGTGGCCAAACACCTAGGATGATTTAAATGTTTTATTCAGATATAAGAGCAGGGAACAACTAGCAGAACTTCCAAGACCAAAGTGAGCCAATAAAGTGATGTGAGTTACCAAAACTAAGTTATTAAACTATATTTATTATGTAGAAAGAAAGAAAAGCACTTTAATTTGGGACAATGGTTGTTCTGGGGGAAGTCTGGGGAGCTGAATTCGGAACAGGGATGATGTTTGACCACGCCTGTTGACCACGTTGTTGGGAGTAACTGATAAAATAAATACAAAACGTTTACTGGCAGTTCAGTCTTGTTTAACAACCATATTTACGTACAAGCAGTTCAGATTCTGTGTATAACTCCAAACTATGTGTAAATGTGGTATGCTGTTATGTAGAGGTCATGGCTGCTGACATTTCTGAACTAGTTTGGTGCTGATGCTTTTCAGAGTAAATTTAGAGTGTGTGTATGAAGGTCTGTTAACTGAGTAATAACACATGCTGGCTGACCTTAGCTGACATTGCCTTCAAAAATGAAATTGCTTCATCTTTTGGTTTCTATTCAGCAGTCTTACTAATCTCTCACATTGTTTTATACATGCAGAGTCAGAGAAACATATTAAAAGCATTCATTAAGTAGTTTCTGCCTCTTAAGGGTAACAATTACATGAACAGGCAGACATATATGTATGTAAAAGAATCTTGTCAAAGGTTTTAATTGTAATACAAAGTCTCACTCAGTAAAATGTGCGTGTGGGGGGTGTTGAGGCACATGCTTATCCCTTACACACAGACACGGATAGTTATTTATTGGCCTGGCAGTGTGATTTATTTCAGCTGTATTTAGCCCTGCCCTTACCCCAGTTGCACCAGTGAAGGATCTCATTCCATAGAGACGCGCCCAGCAGTAGACTCTCTTTGTGTGTTAAGCCTCTTTCACACTGCAAGGTTTATTGGGAAAGTGGCTGGGTTGGCAGCCCCTCAGCTTCCATGTGAGTCAAGAGGGGTGAGTATGCAATGACCTGCTGATGGCTGAGGTGATGGTGAAAAATGACTTGTCCCTGATGAGGAATTTGGTAATTTTACATAGACTAGACATAGTGGTTAGCGGTGCCTTTCTGGTCGTCTGCTGAGTTTCAGCTTTGACAGAAACATTTTTAACAATACAGAGTTTTTATTCTCAATTTAACTAATTATTTTAAGCCAGGAAGGCCACCTCTAAAAGGGGAAGTGTTTGGCTTTATTCTGGAGCTTTTTGACACTAGAGGGAAAGGGGCCATTAGAATCAAATGGATTTATACCACTGGAAAAATGAATATCCTGTTCAGGGAAAGTTTTGACATGACGATGATTGAGACCAAACACCTAGGATGATTTGAGTTTGTTATTCAGATATAAGAGCAGAGAACAACTAGCAGAACTTCCATGGCAGACCAGAGTGAGTCAATGAAGTGATGTGAGTTACTGAAACAAAATTATTAAACTACATTTATTATGTAAAATCAAAAAAGAATTTCAATTTGGGACAATGGTAAGTCTGAGGCAGTGGAAAGTAGCGTTTTTCTGCTCCCCAAAAGTGAAGCCAAAACTCTTATCGCCCCCCGTTGGCTGACAGAAGTATCGTTACCCTGCTGCCTGCCTGTTAGCATATGGGACATGGACCAAACTAATAAAATCACGTCAAATAAATTTCTGTCATTTTAGTGCTCGTCATGCTGATGTATTGTGTGTTTGCTTTTAATCAGATATGTATTGCTATAAAAAGGGGGTTTCTCAGATTCAGTTGGGCAGATGTATGGGAAGGACTTTGATAACCCCAATCAATACTGTGCAGACTCTGGCGCCAGATGATGCCACCAGCGCAAGATAGCAACGGCTGTATCTGAGATATTTTCACTTTTGTACAGTGGGAAGAAGTGGAGATGCGTCGTATGCAGTCTATAGCCACTACAGCCAATGCCCGCAGTTGGCCCCCTGAGAGTTATGGTCAATATAAAACCGAATTGACCATAATGTGCCTTTCATGGGTTCTGTAACAGCAGCTTGTGCATCACGACTGGAGGATTTAATGAATAGCCTCTCGCTGTGGCCCGGTGTTATTCACGTATATGTTTTTGCCTGTCTCAACATCAAAGCGCTAGCAGTATGTGTATTTGTGTATTCACCTGCTACATGTGTTTTCAAATAGGGAGTGGTGTAAGAGTAGCTGTGGTAAGTAGTGAGATAAGAGGGTTCCTTTGTTCCTGTTTTCCACGCTGTATTTCATGTAGCACGCTGGGAGGGTTACCATATTGATTGTCTGAAGCATGAAAGGATGACATAGAAAGACCATGCTCTTCCTTCCTCAATCTAAGGTGACAGCTTTATTGTCCTTGGCTACTCAGCTAAACTTTTGTCTCTGAACCAGAAGAAGGGACCCCAAAGTAGGAGGTGGGCTGTACTCCCCCGAAATAATGGGACTCGTTGGTGTGTTCAACTCTTTTGGGCTCATTTTATACTGTAGTACTGCTTTTAACTTTAACACAAATCTGACACAATTAGGCCAAAGTGAGATTTCCCCATGATGTGTGTTGTCAAAAGAAATACTAATCCTCTCGCCCCCTTCCTTCTCCTCTCACCCCTTATGCTTTCCACTCCCTCAAAAGATTCCCGCAATGAATCAGGTCATCCTTGTCCAGAGGCAATGGCATCTGCTGTGACAACTTTCTAGCAAACTGTGTAATGAAACAGGGTAGTACACATTGTGTGCCTGCGCTGTATTTCCAAGGCCTCATAAGGTTCAGTACAGAGGAATGTGGCTCAGATCATTAAGGTCGCAGTCCTGTGCAACCAGTAGGCATCCAGCTCTCTGCATCACATGATATGTCAGCGCCTCTCCCTGAGTGCCTGTCGTCATTGGCAACCGCTGACAATGAAACCGTGGAAGGGTCTCCCCTAATACCATTCATGTGTGCAGCCAATGCTCTTGTCTGACGCTCAGACAGCAGCTCCCCTCCACGACCCCCCAAGGTTGTTTTTGTTCTCTGGCTTGTTTTTACAGATTGTGGAAGCTCCATGTTCAAAACATGTGTTTCGCCATTGCAAAACCTTTTTGCACCTGCACAGAAAATGCATCAACTAAAAGCTAACAAAATAAAAACACTTCTGTTTACAATAAACTCATATATGGAGCAGGAGTGTGTTTTATTTTTTGTGTGTATCATATTTGAACTGTTTCCGCATTAATTTGAAACTGAAATGTCGCCTTTCACAACCACATGTATTTGTCTGAATGAATTATCTTTGATCTAATTATTATGAATTATTATTTAAACTCATATATACTTAATGTCTCAACAGGAGCTCGTTTTGGTAGAGGGCAGCCGTGTGTTTGAGTCATGGAAAACCCCTCCCCCTCCTGTCTACATGGAGTATTTCTTCTTCAACGTGACCAATGTGGATGAGTTCCTTGGAGGGGCCAAGCCAGAGGTCAAGCAGGTTGGACCCTACACATACAGGTAGGGCACGCAGAAGGGTCTTAAACCTGCTTTCTATGTAAGAGCCAGCAGTAGGAGCTCCATTGGCCACAATAAAAAGCAATACCATGCAGTCTTATGGAGAAATGACCATACTCATCACTTGATTCCTTAGCTCAGTAAACAGTTTCCGAATGAGTTTATGGTCTCAATCGCTAGTTTCAAGTCTTCTTCTATACAGCATTATGTTCATTTAGTAAATTATGGTCCAATTTAGAGTAAAATAGACGCAGGGTATGCTTTAGAGCGTGGCTACCTTGTGATTGACGAGTCATTCTCAGTTCTCAGTCAGTTTTGCACCTTTTTTAATGTAGGAGTTGATTGTTATTTTTTTCACAAGGTTTCTTCCTGCAGTGCTGTTGAAATGTGGCCGCTATTTGCTCAGCACCTATGTAAACTGAACAAGGGACATCAGCTTCTGCCTGTCTGCTTCCTCTCTTTTGGTCTATGAAGCCACTCTTACTTTAAGCTTAAAAAGGTGGCAATGGTTAATTTTATTTTTCATTTATAAGCTTAAAGATCAGACAGCGATATATACACTATGTTGTTTCCTATGCTGTCCAGTATGTCATGTGAGTCCTGACAATAAACTTTATGTCGATTAGTCATTTGCAGTTGCTTCTAATGCACCCACTGAAACCCTTAAATAAATATCAAGGTTCACTGCTGCAGCACCAAAAATGTTACAACAGCCCCAGTGCGCGTCAGGATAATCTACCCCTAACCTCTAAATGTTTGGATTACCTAATCTCAAACGGATGTTGCGTTAAAAAAAGAATTTCACTCAACACTCATTCATTTTTAATTATTTGTATTGGTATGAATGAAATTGATATGGGTTGTTTAGAAGTTGTTATATTTGTTAAAAAAAAGTATTTACAGAATTGTACTTTTGATACCAAGAGAAGAGATATTGACACATTTTACCCATAAAAAAGGACATTATCTGTCCTGGATACTTATTTCAGCCAAGTACTTGCTTACTACTAAAAAAGAAAGAAAATCTTACATTTTATTGTGTTTTCCCAGGGAGTACAGGTATAAGGACAATGTGAGCATGGTTGAAAATGGCACCAAGGTGTCTGCATACACTATCAAAAGCTTTGTGTTCCTGAGAGAGAAGTCTGTGGGTGACCCAACTGAGGATATGATCACCACTGTAAACATCCCTGCTTGGGTGAGTCATCAACTAAAGGTCTTAGACAAGTAGAGGAAAGTGTAAATCCAAGTGGGTGAAAGTAGAGTGTGTATTCAGTAACTTCTTTCTACATTTTGTTTCTGGTTTCCTCAATCCAACCTCTATCAATCCCACCCTCTACCTCACCTCTCATTCTTTTCCATCTCTCAGGCTGTAATGACAAAGTTGAAAGGGAGTTTCTTCAAGTCCAGCTTGGTGTCGATGTGGATGAACGCTATCGGGTCCGGTATCTTCACTACTCGTACTGTTCAGGAATTGCTGTGGGGCTACGAAGACCCCTTGCTGGTCCGTGTCTCCGCCTCCAATCCTGAAGTGGAGAAGGTCTTTGGCCTCATGTACAAGGCATGTACAGCTCTACAAATAATAAAAGCTGATGAACCTCAGCTGGATGTTGTTATTGGAAGATATTTTAATTGGGTTTTGAGATATTTTGTGTGTTTTTTAACACATTTTAATGACTTCAATCTTTGGATCTATTTAGAAAAATGGAAGTCATAGCGGGGAATTCGTCTACCACACTGGGGAGCAGAACTACATGGATTATGGCCGCGTCGCAACATGGAAAGGAGAAAGGTGGCACTGTTGCACAAACACACACTCCCCCTCTGTCTTCATCCACTGTAATGAGACTTCATTGGGTAATCATTGGATTTAAAATGTTCTCAAATCTACTGCTTTCTGCCAATAATTAGGGAGTACTGGCTGGCTATCTCTGGTTGTGTGTCTTTTGGTCTGGGCTGCTGGCCCACAGTAGCGGGTACTGGGCAGGACATCCTGATATTCGGAATGCCTTAATAATGGCTTGTTATTGACCTTTCTTATCACATTTTATTCTCTTATTTTCCCTTTAGTCTCTAGATACACTTCTTATTCCTGGCAAAGCATTTTTTTCAACAATGACAGATAAAAACATGTTTGATCATCAAAACATTTCATTCTTATTTACTGTTATCAAGATGGAGATCATTATGTTGTTGACATTGAATGTACAAAACAGCACACGCAGCCAAAAATCAACAAAACATTGTTATTGTGACTTACTATGAGTATTTTTGTGTTTTTTTGTGTTTGTGTTTTCTTTTTAATTTTTTGGGCAAAAGGGTAATAATTAACTCCTTAATATCTGTTCAGGACAGAGTTAAGAGGCAGAGCAAACACTGGGAATGGTTGGAAGACCAATTCTATGGTTGATTAAATGTCTTCCTTGTGTGCCTTTGGTCACCTAGAAACTAGCATAGCTGTAACACAATCTGACATATCAGGGATTTCCAATGTTTTCATCACTAGTAAAACTGATATTAAAAAGTAAAACCTGGAGTGGGACTATTATATGAACATGCATACATTTCAGTTCTCAAATGAATCCCCTCTTTATAAACATTAAGCTTTTTTTATTGCATAATTGTTGGGCATCATCTCTGGATACAATTTTAAAAAGACATTAAAAGCTCATGTTTGTGACGATATGTTGTTTTGCAGCAAGCTGAACTTCTGGACGTCCGACCAAAGCAACAACATCAATGGATCCGATGGAAGTGCTTTTCATTCTCTGCTGAGCAAGGATGAACGCATTTATATCTTCACTCCAGACCTCTGCAGGTACACTTGCACCACAGCACCTCCCTGCAGCTAATGCTCCCATTTGGCATCACTTTTAGATATGTAAATAACCGCACTCAATAATTGCTATTACATTTTCTTACAAGTGAGTTATTATTCTATTTGTTCCAAATCCACAATACGAGACGGGATCATCACATAATCAGGATGATTTTGTGGTCCTCTCTCTTGAAAGTGGAAAAGGATAAAGGAAATATTGGATCCAAGGTGTCAAGAACAATCAGAGTTCACCTGCTGATATAGGAGCTGTCTGCTCCTGCTGTCGCTTTGTATCTCACTCCTTACTTTCACTCTCTGCCCACTTCTTGCATTTTGCACCGTGGCTGCAGGAGGCTGAGCTGTCCCCCTTATCTGTCTGTGTGCTGTCGTTCTCCCTCTCTATCTATGTGCTGTCCTCATCTGACTGGTGCGAAAAAATCTAAAAACTTTATTGACGGATGAAAGTTTCGGAGTCTGCGTCTAAACATGAGTGACACAACATGAGGTTGTGGTTATTTTTAGATTTCTCCCACTGTTACCCATATATTCCATATATGATATTTTACTTTAGGATGTTGTGGTTATGATAGATTATGAAGCAATGTCTATTTCTGGTATATGACCTGGTCTGAAAATGTTGGACTCAACTCACGGCATGATGAGGGGCTTTTATGTCTGGTATGGAAATACGTTCACAGGCCTTGGATCCCATGGATTGTTATCATAACATCCTGATCACTTACAAGCAGCACCACAGGTGATGTCTGTTTTCTCACCAAGTCTTTACAACCTATACTGTGGAGGCTTTTTGAAACACTAACATGCCAGTTTCCAGGAAACACTCTATGGAAAGGCTTACCTAAAGAGGAATGCGCAGTAATGAAGATAGCAGGTGGGTGAGTGAGGAGGGGGAAGGACAACCGTGAGAGCGAAAATAAAAACATGAAATACAAAAACCCCTAAAGCATTGTTGATTTGTGTTGAGCACATATTCAGCAGTGGCAAAGAAAAGTTGTTAAGATTTCTGTTCTTGACCAGCTGGAACAAATCATTATTTCATTATGCTTTCCATGTGAAATTTGAAAAAAGTCAAGTAGTTCAAAGTAATGTTTGCCAGATAGTGTTCACTGCTAATGCTTATAAGGACATTCTGGTTGTTGGAGGATCCTCTGGAGGCGTTCCAAATCAGGACCTCATTGAAATCTTGAGCAATGTTAAAGAGAATTGCCTCCCAGAGTGACTAACTGATGAATAGCTCCTTGGAGTCTTATTTCGCAAATTCTAAGTCTAACACTGAAACTGTGTACTTCTTCTAGCTGATGATGAGAGCTTTAGAAAAAGTTTAGAAAATAACCCTGAGCTTAAAAAACACAAGCTGCTTCAGACATGTTCTCCTCTTTGGCGAGCGTGGAAAGAATCTGTTGGAGAGGCTTGGTTGTACCTTTGAGTCTGATTGGACGTAAGTCAAAAACCCTCTCCCAAAGGTTTACACTTTCACCTACTTACTCCTCACATGGGGGGTTCATCATGGCTGTCTGTGTTATTGTGACCAAAGGGAAGGCTCCCGTCCTGTTTCCTGCACTTTATGCCATAATTTAAAGAGGAAATGTTCCATTAAGTTTTATGTGTCACCCTTTCACACAGTTTGGCAGTTTGGCAGTTTGACAGGTTTGTTTTTCTTGCTAAGCCCCTGTAAGAGTAGCCTAACACGTGTGTAGAACATGTCTTTAGTTAAATGACTTCTGGGACTGATCTGTAGGATAAAAAAAGTGTGAGAATTCCCATCTGTGACCTGACGAGTAGTGACCCTTTGCTCCAGTAACTGACAGCTGAGCCAGAGAAATCTCAAGTTTTTGATGAATTGCAGACAGGTGTCATTGTTCAAATACCAACTTGCCTTTTGCCATACATTAATCTTTGCTCTAGCTATAATCCTTCATTTAAAAGACTGCAATTGCAATAAATTCTGACCAACAATTGTCCAAAAAGATTAAAAAAATAATACTAATACTAAATGAAATAAAATAAAAACAAACTATAAATACAAAGTATAGTAGAACAAAATTTAAGAATGACACAGAATAGATAAATTAATAAATAACTTGTTGCCATAGTGGTCTTAGTCGCCCCAAATCATGACAGCAACCAAGACTGCTGTTCCTCAGCTACACTATAAACTTCAGTGAAAGTTTCATGCAGATTTAAATCATGTACATTCCCCCAACACTCCTCTTTCAATTCTCTTTGAACATTTTGACAACTATAATACATAATCTCATCAGGTGTGGCAAATATTGGCTCCCACACAATGAAAGGATTCCCAAAGAACCTCATCTTAGCTTCATTTATCTGAAATTAATTCTCGCTGTTACAGTCTCTCGTGCCCAGCAGTACAAGGCTGAGGCTTCCAGCATCCTGTTATAGTGAAGAAACACATGAGGGTTTTTACTTAGCTTCTTTCACAAAGGCCAAGGGAAAGGTCTGTACAGTATTGTTACACGAATGGTGGGCCGTGTAGCAAAGAGCCGCATCCTCCCGGCCAGTTGGCAGACACTGTATAGACCCCTTTGTTCTAACTAAGAATCATCGGGATTCCCTAAGCAGAACAGAACTGCAGATATATAGAGCGAGTATAGAGGAGGAACTGCTCTCAATAATGTAATTCCCTTGGAAGCTGTAAAAACATTAAAACATAATTGTCCCAGAACAAAAGGAATGTCAACACCACCGGAACTAGCATTATTCCCTCAATGTGTTTGTAATGAAAGAAATACTCCCAACAGGATTTCAGCATAATGGCGTACCCCGCCAGCTTCTCTCTTCATAATCGTCATAATTCAACACTGAATTATGGGTTCGGCCTCGCAATCTGACTTCTTGTGCTTTTAGTGGCCATTTCATTGTTTACTCAGGGAGATCATACGAGGAGAGGTTGTGTTTGCTAGTGAACAGGTGTCTCAGGAGCCAACACCAGTAGAATGGGAATTTGTGTATTTGTATGTATTTATTCTGTGCAGCAAACCACTAATGTGAAATATAATTACTTTGACACCGAGCAGCACTCAGCTAATGAGTGTTTGTGTGTCTCCATCTGGAAATGGTTTTAATATTAATGCACTAGACATATGTAGACATATTATTACGGTAATTCTGTAAAGCTTCATGCTGCCTCCACCAATCCCTGTGGAGGATTCGATGCAATATTCCTTTTGTTTTCATATTTTATGCATATTCTTTTAACAGTTGCATTTTGAGTTTCAAGTAAATCGAATATTGACAATAAAGAGAAAAAGGATCATAAATAAGAAAACTGATTTTATTTAATGTTTTCCTGTAATGTGCTTGCTTTACTCTCCAGGTCGATCTACATGGAGTTTGAGAAAGATGTAGAGGTGAAAGGAATCCCAGCCTACCGCTTCACACCACCACGTTCTGTTTTGGCCAGCAAAGAGGAGAACCCGGCCAATGAGGGTTTCTGCGTCAGCCGACAAGAGTGTCTGGGAACTGGCCTTCTTAAAGTCAGTCCCTGTCGGAAAGGTAAATGTCAGCTTGTGCAGCGTATTTTTTCTCACCCACACTTCTGTTCTTTCACATGCCACTCTCAAAATGCTCACTTCTGCACCCACTACTCGTTGTACCTGCCATGAATTCAACATTTCATTATTCTCCAGTCTTCCGTTTCTTTAATTTGCTGTACTTCCTAAACAAAGCCTCTGTGCTTACACTCTGACCTAATGAACACGTCACTTATAATTTGAAAGCTACCTAAGATTGTTGTTTTTTGATCTGTTCTTTCTCCTTTCTACCAAGCCCATTTAAACACATTTTCTTACTATCAGTCAAATCCTCCTTTTGTTTTCCTTCCCACTATCACCAGCACTAATACCCTCTAAATGACCCATGTGACACAGCTCTCCAGCCCCCTCCACAACTCAGGCACCATCTGACCATGACTTGCCCAGTAGCTGGAGGGGCGTTAAGCCCTGTCACCTGATTCTGGCCTTGAATATGATCACACATTACCTTAGTGCCCAAATTGTTTCAGTTCTTAAAGATTATTATTCCCCTGTGAAAGAACAATACCAGTGTTTTAACATGTTTTACACATTTTGCAGAACAATATGAATAGTGCTGACAAAAATGGCGGCAGTCCACATAAATGTGAAGCATACTTGACTTGTAGTAAATGTATGCATGATAATAATAATGATCGAGGTCATGACACAAATTTAGTCCAGCCAATAACAGGCATTTTATTCTACTCAGCAGAAAAGGATTTAAAAGAGCGTGCAGAGGGTTAAGTTCAGGGTGAGGTGTTGAGGAATGAACACAACGATTAAAGTATACCGATACAAATATGTGTGTGTGTGTGTTTGCGCTACATTGACCTTGTGGGTTGTCACGGGAACAGCCTCTCAGGTGACTGTGGGTGTCCAATGTTTTTGTCAAACGTCTGTTGCCAAACACAAGAGCAGGAAAACTGTCACCTCTGCCCCACTTCATCAGCACCTCTTAACTGTGGCACCATCTGACCTTGTTGTTGCTGCTGAGACACAAGGGCCTCTCGCCAAGCTGAACTACTTTGTGTTTTTGTTGAACAACAGACTGATTTGACAGAATGACTCCATCCGACATTACATAGGTGGAAAGTGACCAAAAATCACTTAACATATTGCATTAACGCAATGTTCCCTGTTGACAATATGAGGAAGGAACAAGATTCTTTATCTGGACATCAGATATGACCCTTAATTTTTGGTGTGTGGGCTGGAGTCTTTTTGTGTACCAATTGTTTTCTCTTTTTTTTGGGGGGGAAGAATGACCCATAGTAACACGCAGTGTGTCCTGCGGCAGAGGTCATATTTTATCTCTTTGTCTCTTGAGGACTCTTCCCAAATGCTCTGTAGTTCGATATGTTCTGATTAGATTATACATCAAACAGCAGGAAATGTGATATTTGGATGAAAGTTTTCTTTGCTGCTACTTTGATTACCATCTCAACCTTTGGAATGATGAAAGGTCTACCATCATCTGTCAGTCTGTGTCTAGATATATTATGTTGAACAAGAAGGCTACATAGAAACTACATGCTTGTTCTTCAGTTTCCCTACAGGAAAGACTGACATTCTTGAATGAATTTAAATAATGTACCCCCTTTGAAAATATACTTCACATACTACATTTTTGGTAGAAAAAAAAAGATAAGAACATAAAGAGGTACAATACATCGCTGCAAGATCAGTGTCTGATTTATTTAACAACACAAATGATCAATTTCATAGAATCCATCACTAAATTCATGCCAAACCAATTTTTTGGCATCATTATGAAATAAAACAGCCGTCTAGTTGCACTGAACTGTGTTCCACTATAAATTTAGTGAGAAACATGTGCTCGTGCTTCACTGAAGATCTTTGTCATTGTCCGTGTCAGGCAGACAACTGCAGTAATTAAACTCTTTTCCAGGCACAGTCTGTTTCTTTGCTTTGTTTTCATCATAGACGTTGCTGCTCCCAGTGAACTAAAATCATCACGAACATGATTGTGTGTGTTGCTTTCTTTTTCTTCTTCTTCCGTGAGGTTCAGAATCAGAATCAGAAATACTTTAATAAGGTTTTGCAGCAGCTGACAGTTTACAGCAGTTAATTGCATTTAATTACATTTAAAATGTAATAAATATAAAATGTGGTTTATCAAACATGCATTTATAGTTTTAATTGAACTCGATACAACATTTTTAAAATTAACATTTTAAAAAGAAATCTGAACGACCCCCTGCAGTACTCTAAATTCCCTCTAGGATAGAAGTACCTAAGAAAGGTACAAGTAACTGAGAAACACTGCTTTAAGATATTGAGATCATATTAATATTGCCATTAATTATTGCCAGTGTCATTTGATGATATCTATATTGACATAAGAATACTGAATTAGCCAAATTAATTAGTTATACCCCGTTATGGAGGCGTATGGCATCTCAAGAGAAATTCATTAAATCATAATTAGAGATGAGGTAACATTGCCACAGAGAATGCAGCACACAGTTTGTCATAGTTGACATTTGCTCCACTTAATAAATCGGATTTGCTGTGACTCATTTATTTACAGTAGATATATACATCATGCTTTGCTCAGCTTAATGTTGTTACTTCACTTTTTGTTTCTCTCCTTCTGTCCTCTGTCCTCCTCACACAGGTGCCCCAGTGGTCGCCTCCTTTCCTCATTTTCATTTAGCAGACAGTAAATACGTGGATGCCATTGAGGGAATGACCCCTCAAAGGGAGCATCACCAAACGTACCTCGACCTTAACCCGGTAGGCCACCAGGACACCATCTGTCAGCCTCAAATGTACCTTTTTACTCTGCAGTTATGATGAGAAACATTAAAGCTGCGACTCATCATTTAAATCTACTATTAAAATATGTAGGAGCAACTCATTTAATCAAATTGTGTTGAAAGGAATACCATGCCACATTAGAAACTACTACTACACCACCTAGTGGCATATAAGTAGTAGTACAGAAGTGTAAAATCTACATTGGTTTTTATCAACATTGTACTCAGTAGAGTACAGTACAGTCAAGATAGTGTCATAGATTTCATTTTGTTTTTTGTTTGTTGATTTACGTTATTTTTTTGCATGCAGACCACTGGAGTGATTGTGCGTGCAAATAAGAGAGCACAGGTAAACATCTTGATCAGCAGGATCTCAGGATTCCCGTAAGTATCTGCATCCAAACACAAACCAAACACTATTATTACTATTATGCACCGGTGCATGTGTGTCTGTACTGCACATGATTGCTTCACGCTCTTTTCATTGTATCCATAACAGGAAAACTAGAGGACTGAACGAAACCATCTTTCCCGTCATGTTCCTCAATGAGGTAGGAAACTGTTAAAGATGTGCTGAAACAGACACTGACAGTCACCATAAGTTAGTGACATTATGAGTTAGTGAATCCTCATGATGTTATTATATTTTATGAACAAAATGTATGTTTTTCCTGTTTTTCTTGATGAATTTGAGGCAAAATCTATGCAAAGTTCTTTGCATAGTCATATCGGTGCAAAATCCATGTACGGAAATCCACTGTATTGGCTGCCATATGGATAATCTGTACTTTTTTTCTCTCTTAGTGACTAAAATGCAACTATCAACTAATTTAAAAAGGCAATATTCAAATATATTATTAATATATAGACTACAATATAATATGTTATATTGTATTTAATTCCCATACATACTGCTCAGTGTAATTGCAGTCCAAGGCTCTTTTGCCAAAAGGGCCGGGGTCTCTCCCTCTCCTCAGGCAGTCAGTAGGTGTAGCAGGTGGGGCACATTTGACCTTCTCTCTCACTCTTTATCTCCGGATCCCTGGATTAGTGTGTCGTCCTATGAGTCCGATAGCTTATGTGTACAAAGTTAGTTTGAGCTTGTAAATATTTAAATACTTTGATCTTCTCCCTTTGTAAATATTTCAATGTCCCTGTAGTGACTTTGAGAGTATTTGGCTGAATAATAATAATGTTCAAAGTATGGGCAGGTAAATTTCCATCGCTGTCAGAAATAAACAAGAAACAGTAACTGACCAGAGTGAGTCAACAAAGTGATTTGAGTTAATAAACTAAATATTTATTGTGTAGAAAGGAAAAGAAACTTCAAATTGGTGGTTAAGTCTGGGAGGTTCATTTTGAAACCAAATTTCAATAACATGAATCAGGACTAAACCAGAAGAAAGTAATCAAGCTAAACAGGTCACTAGTAAGTAATAAGGTTTCCTCTTCATAATGTATCTGTCACATTGTCTCTAATACACAGAGTGTGGTGATTGATGATGTGTCTGCTGCGAGAGTACAAAAGCTGCTGCTGATTGTCACTCTAGTGTCAAACTTCCCGCTCATTATTGTGGGACTGGGTACCATTATGCTCATAGTCTTCATCATCCTTCTGGCCCGGGCTCGCAAGCAGGAGGTATGACCCCCCTTCTTACCTGATTTTATTATTATAACATTGCTATTTGCATGCTTTGTCCCAGTAAGTAATTGGTTTTAATCGTTTGCATAATTCATTTAATTGCTTAACCACACACTAATGGCCCTGTGCATGTATTTATCACTGTGTGTCTCTGTGCAGAATGAAGTTAAACGCATTGTGTTTACCAAGCCTCTTTATGCTGTAAGTCAATACTGTTACTTTGCATGTTTTTTTTTGTTTGTTTTTATATTCTCTTCACTTTATCAAAGCTGTCTTACTATATTGAGTCTTTATTGCTCATATGCATCTTTAATCTAATTTTTCAATATGCATTTTGATGACTTTCACCAACAGTAAACATATTGTGTTTTAACACATTAACATAATGGAGCAACACTAAATCTGAACTGTAAAAAACATCACTAGCAAAGGAAGATCTGTTGATTACAGTTATACCTGTACAAAGCAAGATGAGTTGAGTTTTTAATATTGTTCTTCATATCCTCAATCTTCCACTACAGGCGTCCACTGAAGACGACACTTCTTACTCTCCAGTCAGCGACAAGGAAAAGGAAGATCCTCAAAATGGAACCTTTATTGGTTTGACACCTAAAGCTGACCCACAAGCTTGAGGGGGGAGGGAGTGTTTAGATGGGGGCTTTGTACATCGACAGCCCTCAGAATTACTAATAGGGATATGGGTTTTCAGGAGAGACAAAAATCCACCGTAGAAAATTGTCAATATTGCCATTATAATTGGAAATCTCAGGGGGAGAATAGGTGTAGAGGAGGAAGAACATGTTTTTAGTCTCAAATATAATGTACTGCATGTACTTAATTTTCGCCACGGACAGCTACCTGAAGTCAACGTCTAGCACACTGTATTGTCAGAAAAGAAAAAGATATTGATTAGAAAGCACTGTGTGTCAAAGGCAACGTTTTTGCTGTTTGGTTAAATCAGTTGCTGATAATGTAAAATTAATGAAAACAAACTGCAGTTCTCTAATGAGTAGAGATGTAGAGCGCACTTCGTAGTGGTCCAAAACAAACTAAACACACCCTTTAAACCTCTGGTGAGGGATATATTTTAGTGCTGTGGCCTCGCCTCATTCTCTGTTTGCCTAGAATAGATCTTGTCTTTAGATTTCAGCGATTGAGTATTATGTAACAGGGCATAGAGGAGGATGATGGGACCAGGGTAATGAAGTCCACAAAATGTGAGTTTTTTAGGTATCATACGTCACTCTCAGGGGGGCTTTCTGCTTAGATACTATCAAACATTGTTAAAGCAGGAGAGAGGAGCAAAATATACAGAAAGTCTTCATTTTATCAGACTTTTCAAACATTTCAGTATTATTTGATCATTAACTAAATGTTACAGAACATTTGTATTCTTTTCTTACTGTGCACTGTATTTAGAGGGTTCCCGTCACACATCGTTATTGCCGTACCAGAAAAACCTTCCGAGTATGGAATATTTTTGTATATATACAGTGTAAGATGTGTTGGACTGCGTACATTCCTCTCAGTGTATGATGGGAATGAATATCAAGACAAAACACTGTATGTTTTGGATACTTTCATTTTGTAACATCAGAAGTCCTCCTCATTTTTTGTAAATGTTAATGTAGACGTGTTTAAATGAGTAAGATTTTAAGCTAGAGCTTTATAAGGATTGACACTTTTATTGGCTGTCTGAAGCCCCGAACATGACAGGGTTTTATGGCTGAAACGATGATTCATGCTGACAGTATTTTTGCCCTTTATAGCTGCTTGTACCACCTATTATTGCCATATCAAAATGTAATTAATCTTATTATCATTTGAAAATCTGCTTTTGTGAAGCTGTTGTTGAAGGCCTTAGCATTGTTAGTGTTGAGTATGACAACCAACAAACCTTATGTCAGATATTATGTCAGGTGTCCAGCCATTGCAAGTCAAAACTCATGGGTTCAGTATGAAGAAACAATGTAGCTGTGCCTTTTTAAAGAATCAATGTTACTGGATTTCTATAGCCTTTTATAGTTTTCACATATTTTGTGAAAAGAAAATATGTCGTACCAACAAACCTACTCTCAAGTTCATATCGTTTTCTTCCAGATACCAAACAAAGCCGAGCGTGAAACTGTTATTATAGTTTCTTTGTAGCCGGCAGGATCAAACTGCACTTTGAAAATGCTCTGCTTGGATGATAGATTGTTGTACAGGGCTACAGCTTTCTCACTCAAGTCTGGTGAAAGTATTTAGACTGATTTCAGGTGCCATTTATTTGTATTGTAAAGAATGCTGCACAATTACTTCATTTGAACTGTGATGAGCTCAGCTTTTTATCACTGCTCTTACTTTTAGTTGTAACATTGAAACGATGAATGAGTTCCTTCGTACCACCTTGTCATTACATGCACTAATAATCAGCAATGACTATATCACACAATAGTGGAGAAGCTATAACATGTTTCATTTAGAGATTTTTGATTTTACTATTAGTGTTTGATGTATATTGTACAATAAGAAATCTGAATGAAAGTAGAAGACGTTATGAAGAGTTCCTAATGTAGTTTCATCAGAAATTGAGATGGGATGGTGAATGAATGAATAGTTTTTAATTAAAAAAACACAGTATTAAACAATATTAGTGTAGTGGTTAAAGGTTATAAATTATTTTGTTACGATGGTAAAACCAAAACACAGAAAGCACCATATATGAAGTGTACACTGAGCTTCTTTGTGCCATACTTTGATTACAGATTGTACTTTCTGAAGTTATCGTTACTGCTATAGCCACATATTCTTCATAATTGTCAGCTTGTTTTGAAATGTTGACCATTAATACTGTTTTTACTGTGTACGCAAAAATAAAAGTAGTTTCAGTAAACATGTCTCATCATTTTTTTCAGTTTGGTTCTCATTTTAGGGAAGTACAAAATTAGAAATCCTTACACTTGCTTTCCAGATTAGACAATGTACTGCTAAAATGAAAGAAAGTTTATAATTTAAGTTATTTATAACGTAAATTTTACTTTTTTAAATTGGAATTTGAATGAAAATATGAAACATCTGAGTAAAGGAAAAACAGACTCCACATCAACAGGCATGCTGTGATGCCACAGAAGAATTATATATAAGAGTCCAGTGTTCCATACAAGTCTAAATCATTGGCTCTGTGTGGTCAGGTTCTGTTGTAATGTTAGTCTCTTTGTTTTGTTTTTAGGAGAAATCCTGCTGATATTAGATCAGAGAGATTGAAAAGGTGGCAGAATGCTACATATAATAATAATTATTACTATTTGCACATTATATACTATACTAGTTTCAGACACAGTTGAGCACTTTTAATTTAAAAACACATTTTTCACATTTCCTACTGTAATATTTAATTTTATATACACAGTCTTGCTTAGGCCTGCTATGCTTATTGTTATGCATTAAAATACCACCGCAAATTCCTGGCAATAAAATTAAAAAAACACAAAGTAGCTTTTTACAATATCTTTGACATCTAAGATAGTTTTAATTTATTTATTCTAAAGCTTTAAAACTTTATTGTATACAGTGTATATATTTTATGTATTCTAGATTTCTATTATATTTTTATTTTATATTAATGCTAACCTTCTCCTACGAGGGATCAACAATAGACAAACAATAGGCTTATAAATAAATACGATAGATAAGATACGAATAAGATAAAGATAAGACAAACCGATAAGATAAGATAAGATAGATAACGACTACAATCACACGATAAGATACACGATAGATAGCAGTAAGACTAGATACCGATAGACTACTTTATTTATCCCCAGGGAAATTTAATATATATGTATGTATATATATATATATATATATATATACGTGTGTGTCTATATTGTTTAGCTTGTTGTGCTGTGTATTTATTTATTTATGCTCAATTCTGTGTATTTACATTAAGAACAACATAAAACCTGAATCAAATCCCTTGTATATTCACACGCACCACGGCATTAAAAGTAATTTTGGAGATCTATTATTTCTCTCATGTTGCACTGAAAACTCATAAATGAAAGTTTAGACTTAGAGGCCTCTTTTATTAATAAATACATCACCAAGAACATACTGCTATGTTGGCATTCACCCTCACACGACCCCACCGTTGCACTTTGTGTATGAGATGTTGACAGTACATCGTCTGACTCCAGGGGGCGGTAGTGCGCCGCTATGTTGGATGAGAACCGCTTTAACCTCAAGAAGAAGAGGAACTGCATTTGATGACAGTCAACATGGCGTTCAGTTTTGGCGGCGCCGCGAGTAACGCAGCAGCAAGTAAGGACATTTAAATTCAACTTGGGAGTGTTTATTAACGAAATAACGTTATTTGGGTGTGTATGTTGCGTTGGTGAAGACTTATAAAGGGTCAGCTGATCACACCAAGCGTCTGTACCGTTAGCAGGCACGGTGGGATCATCTACCGGCTAACGGGGAGCTTCATGTGAAAATCCTTTCTTAACTCAGCTGTTTATCCAAACATATGTTTTAGTTACAACTCGTTTTAATGCTAAAGTGTGTTTCGGTAAAGCAACGTTACCTCCTAGATCCTCATCGCCCTCACTGCGGCTATCGTTGGCTGTTTTTTTTTGGGGGGGGGCTAATGAATACTCTTATGTGTGTTAGCCACGTTAACTAGCCTCCAACGTTACTGTAACGTTACTGTAACGTTACTGTAACGACACCCAGCACTCATCGCACTCTCTGTGTTCTTGTGAAGACACGTCCGGGTTTTCATTCGGTTCATTTGGTCCCAAAACCACTGCATCCACAGCATTTGGCTTCGGCCCCGCAGCCACTACCACCACCGCCTCGTCCGGATTCGGCAGTAAGTCCAGAGTGCTGATCTCCTCCTTCCTCCTCCTCTTCCTCCTCCTCTTCCTCCTCTCAGTCACTGGAGAGATGCACCGACGTGTCCCGCTGGTTAGCCCCGTTTGGACCTGTCTAATGCAGCAGGTTTGGTTTCAGTGGAGTGGGTCTACTCTTCTTTTAGCTCCTAAATTGTGTTCAGCTGAAAGATAAACGCCCTGTGATAGAAACAGTGTTTAAGTAAGACTCTTGCATATTTAACTCACCCCAAAAAAACTGCCCACTGGTATTTACATGCTGTCACTTCTCAGCTTCTCCTGCTTCACTTCGGGCAGTAAGATCTTATAAGACTAAAGGGTGAGATGAGTGATGGGTGTACCCAGTCCCCACTGAACCATACCTGCGTATACTCCACACTGCACCACTGGTTTCACATTAGAGGAGGGTTAAGTCGTGGTTCACCTCCTCTACAGAGTCAGACAGCTGCTTCCCCGAGCTTTTTTTTACCGGAAGCGTCCAGGAATGACACTTACAAACGGGACTAACCTCTTGTGTCTTAGTGTGTCTGGGGTTAGGGTTAGGCGCCGCAGCCATAACCGGTTGGGGTTAGGGATAAGTTGAGGCTAAGGTTGAAACAAACAGCAACACAAACTGATAGGAAAACAAGACAGAGAAATACTTTACTAATACAGGATTTAAAGCCGTATTTATGTAGGGCTAGTCATGTTTTTGCAGTTATTTTGCATCGTTAGGAAATGTTTTTGTTAGTCTCACATCATTTACTGCGTTGGTGTAGCAATAGAATAAAGATTAATCAATAATAATACTTTTTGTACTGTGAAATGTTCGCTTTCGTTGTGCTGTGGTTTGTAGATCCGCACAAAAAAAAAGGGAAGAATGAGTGAATATATTTTTAGAGAAAGATTAGTTACCATAGGTTTGTAAACTGTTTGTAAACTGTATCCATGTTTGAAAGTAGTGTTTTATGACTCTCTAAGAAAAAAAGTCATGCATATCACTTTTGTTGACTGTTTTTATCCTCCTTGTTGTATCCGAATCTAATTATGTGCCAGTTTAACTGAGCACAAAACACCTATTTTGTGTCTACTTTTCTCTTTTGTAGCTCTTACAGCTCCTGGCTTCGGGGCAGCCACCACCACCGCTGCTGCACCAGCCACGGGATTCAGTTTTGGCTCCACCAACACTGGTAAGAAACACATGTTACATACAAAGCCTGTACATTTGTATTGTTTTTTTTTAAGTCTCTTTTTAAGGTACTTTAAGGCAAACTGTTTGTTTCTTTTTACAATGTCCGTACTAGACCTGACCTTTTGTCGTTTAACTCCTCCATGTCGTTCTCTCCTTCTCGCTGCCTGCCTCTGCTGGCTGCAGGATTTGGGGGGCTGGGAGCTGGAAACACCACGGCTGGTGGGTTTAGTTTTGGGGGGTTTGGTTTAAATGCCAACCCAGCGGCAGTCAGCTTTAATGTGGGGTGCTTTGGTACAGCAACCACCACTGGCACTGTTTTCAATTTTGGTAATAGCCTGACTAGCACAGGTAGATGACCTTTGTGATTGATAAATCAGTACAGTCTGTGTCTTTTTTTAAAACACACATTTTCATCCATTTTCACATCTATGTGGTGCAGTGATTTCTCATCTCACGTTTTGCTTTGTCTCATGAAATGTAATGCATTGTTCCATTTGCATGAAGGGACAAAAGGTTTAATCATGCACTCATCTCATGTGATTTCTGTAGAAGCCCGGTACATTTTCACCTTCTTTGTAAGACAGAAGAAAAATGCTAGATGGAAATAAAACTCAGTTGTCCTTTTATTAATCTTAAAAGCTCAGTCATGATTTTTTCCCCTTTCACTGTATGTCAACTAGTCAACAATTTCATTTATTTGTATGTATCTAGTATTTTTGTCATTTGTCATGATTTGCTTTGTTTCTCAGGCACGTTTGGCGGCTTTGGGACGACTACAACAACTGCTGCTGCGCCAGGGTCCACTTTTAGCTTTGCTGGTCCCGCAAATACCACAGGTCAGCAATGTGGCAAAAAATAACTTTCCCTGCTCTTTGTCATGTTGTGTTTGTATGCTGGACATAAAATACGCGTGCACACAGCATTTTGTTTTTAAAAGGAGGGCATGTGTTTGCTTCTGAGCCTCAATGCAGGGCCTGAAAAAGATGAAACTTAGAAATGGGGGGAGAAACAATACATAGAAAATTAGGTGGATTTATTTGGCATTTCAATAATATCTATCTTTTCTAACTCTTACTCCTAAAACTATGCTGCGTACTCCTGCACACTCAGCTTTGTGTTGAAATGCCAATAAATAGCTGCCACAAGATGTCTCACTCACTCTACTCCGTACATAAGTCCTTCCCGTCACTCCTGCAGTGATCCCTCTGCAAAGCTGGCAGCATACTCCCCAAACGCTGTAGACTTAACTGGCATTCAGTAGTATTAATGTAGTTGATATTTTCTCACTGCGTTTCCACATTCTTCTGTTTCAGGAAGCCTGTTTGGTAACACACAGAACAAAGGGTTTGGGTTTTCCTCCGGGCTTGGCACTGGGACTGCTGCTGGGACAGGAGGATTTGGAACTGGATTAGGAACAACCGGCCTGGGTGGGTTCGGAGGCTTTAATATCCAGCCAACTCAGCAGCAGCAAGGTGAGAGCCCATATTTCCTCCCAAAAAATGTGAAGATTATGACCCAAACAAGGCAGCCATTGCAGAACATTAAAGATGATGTCCGTTATTTGTTTTTAAATTAATGAATGACTAATTTGGCCATCACACGAAAACACACAAATGAGCACATTTACTATGGCTGGAGAAACATTGATCAGCCTGTCCTGGACAATAGTGCCAGTAATGTATGTATGAAACACAAAGACTTTACTCATTATAAAATAACAATCAATGAAATCATCAGTTTAACCCCCTAGAACCTGAATCTGACCTGTCATTTTACCTTTCCTTCCCCCTACCAGGTTTGTTTGGCCAGCAGCAACAGGGTCAGCCTCAGCCCACCCAGCTTTACCAGCAGGTCACCGCTCTGTCAGCGCCCACCTTGTTAGGAGATGAGCGCGACTCCATCTTAGCCAAATGGAACCAACTGCAGGCATATTGGGGCACTGGGAAGGGCTACTACAGCAACAACAACCCAGCAGTTGACTTTACCCAGGAGAACCCATTCTGCAGGTTCAAGGTAATGGCGGATAGTTCAGCAGACCGGTTGTTAGGTTCATTTGAGTTTGAATATCAGATGGTAGTCCTCTCTGTCTTTTGTTTGCTAGGCGGTGGGCTACAGCTGCGTCCCAGTCAGTAAGGATGAGGATGGGTTAGTGGTCTTGATTCTCAATAAAAAGGAAGCTGATGTGCGAGTGCAGCAGCAGCAGCTGGTGGAGTCCCTCCACAAGGTCCTGGGAAGCAACCAGACACTCACTGTCAATGTGGACGGTGTCAAAGCCCTCCCAAGTGACCAGTAAGTCTCTAAAACATGATGTCATACAGTACTACTACACGCATTAATAGTAATGGCTTTCAAAAGAGTCTTATTCATGTGTCTTCTGTCTCTCAGGACAGAGGTGATCATTTACGTGGTGGAGCGTTCTCCTAATGGCACCTCCAAGCGGATCCCCGCCACCACACTCTTCAGCTATCTGGAGCAGGGCAACATCAAGGTGCAGCTCACACAGATTGGAGTGGCCATGTCCGTCACGCGCACAGAGCTGTCTCCAGCACAGCTCAAACAGCTGCTGCAAAATGCACCTGCAGGTAAATGTGTCCATGCATGTTTGTGTCATCCTCTCGCTGAATTCAACAAACTGTTGTTTTTTTTCTTTCTTCTTTTTGTCTTGATTTGTAACCTGTGATGTTGTCTCTTCTCACCAGGAGTGGACCCCATCATTTGGGAACAGGCTAAGGTGGACAACCCTGACCCAGAGAAGTAAGTTGAGACTTAAGACTTTTCATAAAGGGTGGTAATCGAATAATGTGGGGAGGGGGAGAACAGTTTCGAAAAACTGTAAGATCCTCAAAACCCTCCAGTTGCTGCATTTTGATTTTTTCCTGACTTTCCCCTCACTGGGTAACACTAATTCTGGTATATTTAAACTTTATTTTAAAAAGCAAATATGAATATGGGTCATGCTTGATTGTGATTCTTATGCAGCATTTCTTTTTATTTAATTCACCTCTTAAAAGCAGTGCGCACATGCTTGCCCCACTAGACCATATCTAGTCTTAAAGTTAAGTTAAGTTAACTGTGTATTTCTTCAACGGATTTTGACCACATGATGCTAAGCAAAAGGAATATCAATGGCTATGTTTGTTGTTTACAAAAAGTCAATAAAAACTACAGCTTTAGATCCTGTCATTTACATGTTGTTTGTAATTTAAGTATTTTATTTTATTTATTTTTTGTTCATCTTTTTCAGATTAATCCCAGTACCCATGGTGGGTTTTAGGGAGCTCCTTCGCAGGCTGCAGATCCAGGAGCAGATGACCAAACAGCACCAGACTAGAGTGGATGTAAGTCTGTTCCTGCTAGTCTTAAATGTCAAAACTCACTGTTGTGGTGTCAAAGACCGACTACACAGACTGAACAGACTGAACAGATTAGCTACTACGAATATAACTGCAGGTGGCAGTGTCAAAATCATTTTGGTTTACATAGCTTATATAGTTGAAAAGAAAACGTCCTCTTCACATTGCTTGGTTTGTATTTGAGGGCATTGACACCAGATACATCACAGCAGATGTCAGTGCCTCATTTCAGTGCCAGAGCGGTCTATTAAAATAGCTCTCTGGAGCGGACATCACAGATAACAGAACAGAGGCATCGCTACATGTGCTATTGCTAGTTAACATGGTAACACACACTCTACATGGCTCTGGCAGCAGGTAGCCTACAGTTAGCTAGTAGCTATCTGAAACATGGTAATAATGCAGATCTAAATGGTCCAACTTTGAATCGTGTGTTCACAAACGGCAACCAACAAATCCTGCTCATTCTGCCTTCAGAGACTAACTCATTTAATCCAATGAATCTCTTTATTTATTATCTTTGAAAAAGAAAGGAAGACATTTGGTACATAGAACATTTTGATCTGTCTTAGTATGTTTATGAGTAGAATGTCCAAAAAGCCCAAAGCATAAACAATATCTAAGGTAACAGATAAAGAAACAGGACAGGGATTGTTAATTTTGGGTCTAAAAAAAACTTTTTAAATCATTGGAAAAATGCTAAACATATTAACAGTTTTCACTGACTTACACACACATGTGGATTGCAGATTATCTCCAACGATATCAGTGAACTGCAGAAAAACCAGGCGACCACAGTGGCCAAAATCGCCCAATACAAGAGGAAGCTGATGGATCTGTCTCACAGGGTGCTGCAGGTAGCCGCCTCACCTTTCTAACTTTGTTCAGGAAAAAAATGATTGTCGGTTTCTAGCTCTCCTTTTCCAAGAACAATGAAATTACTTGTGATGACTACCATCTGTAAATTTCATGAGAGTTTGAATGAGCGCCCCTGCACTGCTCTGTCTTTCATCTTCTCATATTTATCACCCTTCCTCCTCCGTCCCTTTTTTCCTGGCAGGTGCTGATCAAACAGGAGATTCAGAGAAAAAGTGGTTATGCAATCCAAGTAGATGAGGAGCATCTCCGGGTGCAGCTGGACACCATTCAGTCTGAACTCAATGCCCCCACACAGTTCAAGGTAAGTGTGTCTAAACTGTAGCAGTTACAAGTGCTCACTTTTACTTTCATTGAGCATGTTTACTCACTAGACTTGAAATGAGGGCAAAGAGGCTTCACTGCATGTTTGAAATTGTATACTACCACATTTATACTGTGCTACAGTATTTGTATGGTCATTTTATTTATTCTGGCTATTATAGTTGCAGGAATCTGTTCTTGTGACATTGAAATACTTTACTACTACTTAATAAGTTTTCCCTTTTTCTTCTTTTTTTGCAATAACGTTTTTATTGTACTTCAACAAACCATACAAAACAAAGACTTTCTGTGACTTCACAGAATTAGCATTCCTTCAATAAGCTTACTTAAAACGGACCCATTGGCCTTAGAACACAGAGTAGTGTTAAAAAAATAATGATAAAGGGATAAATAAAGTAAGGAGATATAGTCACAAAAGAAAAACAAGACAGAGGGAACTAAACATCTAAGCACACTCAGGATTTGGTGGTCCTGCCAAGCTTCATTGTATTTGTTACTTTCTTAAGTCTTAAATGAATACGTTACAGTGTTTGTGTTTTTTCTTCCAGGGTCGGTTGAACGAATTAATGTCCCAAATCCGGATGCAGAATCACTTTGGAGCTGTTAGATCAGAAGAGCGCTACAGTGTTGATGCAGACCTTCTCAGAGAAATCAAACAAGTGAGGCAGCACATTCACACAGTGCTTGTTATTTTAATATCTGTACCTTGTAATTGAAGTTCAGACTCCCGTATGCACAGTTGTGGTTCTGTAGACCATAACTCGACCACTAACTGAAACACTTCCTTACCTCTCACTTTCAGCACTTGAAACAGCAGCAGGATGGTTTAAGTCATTTGATCAGCGTCATCAAAGACGACTTGGAAGACATCAAACTCATAGAGCACGGGCTGAGTGACAGCGGACACATGAGAGGAGGCATCCTGAGCTGAGTCTATCCTACCAACCCACACACACACACGCGCATACACCGTTCACAGTCCTCTGAAAAGTGGCATGCCTGTCACCCAGACGAGTCAACACATCCTTTTTGTCATGGTATCAGATTAATCTTGAAGCAGTCTTTTGTCTGTAGGGTTTTTATCACAGGCGGTCGTAATTGCTCTGTTCATCACCATTTTGGTGAGTTGATCGGGACTTTGCTTCTCTATCTGTACCAACAAAGCAACGACGCAACGTTAATCTGTGCTCTCTGGACTGATATGGAAAGCTTAATGGAAAGACTCAACATTGTCTAATAATAGCTGGCTTCCCTTATGATAAATCAGATTATGGATACGAGACTATAAATGTGACTGGCATGTAAACAAGGTGTAGGGTTGAGTGTGTTGTAATTGAATACAATGTAAATACATCTTTGTATTTGTTTTTTATGCTGTTGTTACAATATTAATAAATTTCATTTAAACTGAAAAATAACCATCAATTTCCTTACTGTAAAGTTTTAATTGAAATGTTTTGGTATCATTTTTCTGTTTGACTATTTCTCTCTGAACAGCACCACTATCTGTGTTGATGTTGTCTCCTGTTATTATGTCATATACATATTAGTCATAAACAGTTGCATTGTTGTGGTACTAATATGGGACGTCACATGTCCCCCTTGTTTACCTTCAGACAAGCCTTTTCCAACATCTCATCAAAGTAGGGCTTGAGTTGATAGGATTCATGTCCTGGATTCACATACCCACATGGATGAAAGACTGATTGGCAGCTGAACTGATTAAGCAGCTTTCGGACAGATTATATCCCCTCGTGCAGTCGAGTCACCCACGTCCCAAAGGTCTGAATTACAGTTTTTCAGAGCACAGGTAGATGTACTCTTACTTCCATCTGCGTGGGAGTAATAAGTGGTGCTACTTTTGTTACAAAGACCATACCATAGGCAGATAATGTGATGCATGATTGTTGTACTCAAAACAAGTGAATACGTGATGTAGACCACAAAAAGGAAAATATCAGCAGTAATGGAGCCAGTTTTGGATCAAAATATTTTCTAATGTAATGAAATACACGTTTAAAGGCATTCTACAGTGTTGCGAGCCCTTGAGAAGTAGAAATCACAATTGGTTTGCTTTTGATACTGCTTTTTAATAATCACGTTTTTAATACACGTACATTTTGATGCAGGAGTTTGAGCTTATACGGACTGTTGGAATGCACTTTCCATCACTAATACTTTGTATTCAAGTAAATGAGAAGGTAAAACACTCTTCACCTTTAAAAGTCTCCCACCAACTACACAAGTGATCCTTAAGCTATACACAACTCCTTAAAATACACCAGCTTCTTAAATAAACCTAAATAAAAAAAGTTTAAAAAAAGAGAGAGCCAAACATCTTAAGAGGTAGAAAAGATCTAGGTTGTATATGGATTAACAATAATGCACTCAATCAACCCACGCAGGTCAAATGGATGACAAACTACTAAACATTTGAATTCTGACAGCTGTGTATCCAGGTGTTTATCCAAGACAGTCCTTGCTGATCTCTAGGCAGCAGATCAGCAGGCACAGCTACAGTTCCTGGTCCAGGTTCTCAGCTATGTGCCGAGAGGTCCACTAGCCGGAAAGCCTCCATGAACTCATTGATATCGATGCTCCCATCCTTGTTGAAGTCGATGCTCTGGGCCAGGTCTGCGATGGCCTTGTCGCTGATCTCTGTTTTAAGATGAGAGCTCAGGAGCTTCCAGGTCTGCCGAAACTCCTCGAAAGAGATCAAACCTAGAAGGAAACACGGAGCATGAGGATTTAGTTGTATACCAAGTTTGTGGCACGGGAAAATTGGAAGCAACACATTTATGGTTGTTGAGATATTTTAGTCTGGATCAGAATGGTGGACCAGCCGACTGAGGCTAAAAGAGGGAGAAAGACATGGAGCTCGTGTATGGGATCCAGGCTGAGCTGCTTACTGACCTGAGTGATCCGTGTCTATGATACGGAAGATGGTTTCCAGGTTGGAGTGGTTTTTGTACATAGTCTCGAGGATACTGTTATCTGAGATCTGAAATGGAAGAGACAAATTGATTAAGATTTAGCAACTCTGTGTGTCAGAGATAGAGACCGAAACGTACAAACGAAACACACTGACACCACTTGTACAAAGCTGACCTCTAGTTTGGGCTCAGTGATGGACAACTCCCTTATCCACTGCTGGTAGTCCACCATGCCATACCGGGTGCTGCTGACAAGCTGAGGGCGCAGCACCCTCCAGGGAAGACCCAGATTCAGTACTCTCTCTGTGGCACTGGCCCAGTGACTTAGAGAGATCAACCCTAAGACAGACAGAAAAATACAATGGAGATATTATTAATGAATTCTGATCTTCATCTTCTGATGTGCATAACTGAGTGTTAGTGTTCAAATTCTTTATTGCTGCTCAGTGTATAGCAGTATTTATTTTTTGCGAAGTACCTGTGTTGTTAGGATCGAACTCCTGGAAGGCACTGATGAGATCTGACTTATGTACAAACAGTTGTTCCTTCAGAGCTCGCAGAGCTGATCTCTCTGTCCACCCGACACTGACAACAAACAGGTAGAGAAAAAATTTTTACTTCTGTAAATCTTGGTGTAGTCTTGTTAATACAGTGTTTTTTGTTATCTTAAAGGTCCAGTGTGTAGGATTTAGCAGGATATATATATTGGCAGAGATAGAATATATTATTCATAGGTATGTTTTCATTAGTGTATAATCACCTCAAAATAAGAATTGTTGTCTTCTTGTTACCTTAGAATGAGACGGTTTTATCTACATAGCGGGTCCTCTTCTACAGAGGTCGCCATGTTGACCCACCATGTTTCTACAGTAGCCCAAAGCAGACAAACCAAACACTGCCTCTAGATAGGGCCTTTTGCATTTTTCTCAAGTTTTGCATCCACAGTAGTTTCTCCTACATGCTTGGAACACAACGGTGAGGCGAGGTCATAATCTGAACTGCTAGATGCCACTAAATCCTACACACTGGTCCTTTAAATTTTGTGCAGCCTTGTCTGTATATTTATGTGTGTATGTACCTTTGTCTCAGGGTAAACTCTCTGCTTGTCCTGCTGGCCTGGTACTGAATGAAGTGAGGGACCAGATCAGGGCCCATTCTGATGTAGGCTCCTCTGTTGCTGCCCACCTCATAGTAGTTAGAGGCTGAAAATATAGTCAGCACCTGAATGCAATAGAAGACGGTTAGCACGTTTGCTAAGACTCACTGTATTTGACCCATTGATTACTAACTGGTGTCAGACTGAAATGCTTACACGAGAGGATCTGTCACAGCAGCTACTTCTGTTTAGTTGTTTTACACATTTCATTTCAGATCAGATTCCTAACCTGCTCTGTTTCAGTTACCCCCTTTTCCCACCAAATTAGCTCTGGTTCTTGAACTGTTTAAGAATGTTGGAATGTGTGTGAACCAGCCCACGTTTCCACCAGTTTTGAGTGGCACCATTGTAATCAAGGACGCATCATCAACACAACACTTTGGTTCCCAAGGAAACACTGCGAACGGTTCAAAATAGGTGCCCGAATCAGAATGGAGCTGGTTTCCTGTTGGTGGAAAAAGGCCTAAGTGTGATCTAACCAATCCCAGTTACCAATTCCCTCTTTATCTTCCCTGCGTATATACCAGCCCCCTTTCTCATTTCACAGATTACCTAATGTACTATGAAGTCTTAAAGCCTCTCAGCCTTTGTTCCTGTTTCTTGCCTGCCGGTTCTCGGTTACCGTTTGCCAGACTATGCATTTTGAGTTTGGTCCTAGTGTACACATTTTCCATGGGTGAGCAGTGGATGTCTGTTGTGTGTGTTCATTCTCAGCTAATATTAGACAAGCATTGTTTATTATCTGATTTCATCAGTCCTGTTAACTGTCTGCACTCAACTCTCTAATTGGAGAGTCCTTAAAAGAGCTATCAAGCCAGAGTTAATATCTCTATCAGGCCAAGTAAGCAATAGATTGCTTTCAGCTGCTCTACCTCTAAGTCCTGCATCTCTTTTTTCAGAAACACTTCAGGATTTACGTTCTTACCGTCTTCAGCTTGGAGTTTCTTGATTACACCACTCAAAAGCAAAAAGTACTTGTAACCATAATTAGTATTGCACCTTAAACCTGTGCCTCGTGTGTGTCTTTGTGCTCACTCTGCGGTTGTGGCAGAACTCGTAGCCTTCCTGTTTGCACTCATGGGAGCGGATAAGGAGCTGCAGGTTGTGTTTTCCCAGCACTTCCTCAGAGACATCTGGTCCCCAGTAGCAGCCTCCACCTCTCACCTCATTGGGACAGCAGCCGTTTTGAGGCATTGGGTCACTCCATAACATGTCCACTATCTGGAAGGCCAAACCGTTCATAGTTTAATATGTGTGCTCTTAACAGCAAATTACTGTAAATACTGTTGAGATCCAATATCCTTTCTTACTTTACTTACTTACTTGTTTCCACTCATGCTCATCTGTTTCTGTTGTTTCTCCAGACTCCGGGTCTGAGTCAGAATCAGACTTTGTCTGTTCTCCGTAGGACTGGTCAAAGCCAGCCTGCCGGCGCCTCCTTTTCAGTTCCTCCTCCACCGACCAGTTGAGTTGACTGCTCGTGGGTTGGTTGTGGAGCGAGCGGCGGGGCAGGTTGTGCTTATAAGCCGGGGCTGAGCTGTGGTAAGTCAGAGAGCACACTCTACGCCGGCCTTCCACCGGTCCACTGGCCTCCCCGTTCCTGTTGTTCATCGTCTGAGTCTTGCTGCCATTGACTGCATGATGGGTCGGCTTGGGAGGCCTGAGAACCGACACATACTGCGCACATTCAAAAGTAGACATATTTAATATGCTTAATATCATGCTTACTGTATATCTGTATTTGTAAAAAATACTTTATGTTGATGCTGAAGGCCTCTCTTACTTTGTGTCTGTCCATTCTGGCTATCGTGTTGAGGTCTGTCGTGTCAGAGATCCCACCGTGCACAATCAGCACCTTGTGATCAATCACTGTGGCCAGAGGCAGCCAGCTGAAGATCTTCTGGAGAAGCTTTAGGATCTTCTTGCCATGCATCTGCAGACCACATCAGGCTAACAGTTACTTACATACTGTACAGTTAGAGGAATTATTATTGTGAGTTGCTTATCTTGTTTAGCCATGCTAGCAGTGGTCAGTTAGTCGATCAACAACATTCATATTTCCCAGATGATGAATCCTACTGACTCTGGCGATGCCCTGACTTTTCCTCTTGCTGTTCCATCTGGTATAAACTTTCATTTGTCTAAATACTAAACTAATGACATTACCACCAGCTTCAGCTGTATTTAGCATCGTAAACTAAAATGGTGAACATGGTAAATGTAATACCTGCTTAGCATCAGCATGTTAGCAGTCTAACATTAGCACTTATCTCAAAGCATCTCTATGCCTAAATACAGACTCTCAGAGCCGGTAGCATGGCTGTAGACTCTTACAGTCGTGTTCTTATTGTCAACAGGTCCCATGAAAAGGCCAAAACTTACAAAGTCTCAGTCAGGCTTTGGCTAAATTGACAATAATTGTTATTAGGATCAGTTTATTATTGGTTCTCTTATTTTTGTGAGATTTGTTGACAATATGAAAATGGAGAATATCCTTTAACCCACAGTCATTTGTTCCAGTTATTTAACATGTACCAGCAGGCTGGGACTCCCACACTGGGAGTCAGACATGGTGTATCAAAGGGCTGCTGGCAGACAATCCGTTTATGTGAAAAACTGTTGTTTTGGGCCTCAAGTGGCGGCCACAGTCACCCACATCACAGGAACACAGGAAGTTACAATCTGAAGGTTATTTTTTACACATGCAGGCCTGAATGAAGTGAAAAGTGCATATAGTTTATATTTGGCTTGAATTTTTCCATTTTATATTTCTAATTCACCACATTTACGAGGGAAATTTTGTACTTTTTACCCCATTATATTTATTTGACAGCTGTAGTTACGAGTAAGTTTGCAGATTATAATTTTAGATACAAAACATATAATGAGCTTTTAAAATATGAAGCAATGCTATAGGTGAACCAACCCAGCAACACTTACGGGAGCCATTTTTACCTCGTTTTGCTACCTTTTCTTAGGTTAAAGGATTTGAGTTTGGCTGAGAATCAATATAATATTGAGGTTAAAGCAAAATACACAAGACCTACCCTATATTTTCCCAAAACTTCTTTAGTGAAACCATATCTGGAAAAAAAACACACAACACAATAAACAACCGTATTAGTATACACATCAGCTGTAGGTTAAATATAATCAGAACACTAATTGCATAAAGACATAATATAAGCAGACTAAATTTACAAAAACATTAACACTAAGAAAACAGGCAGAACTGGCCACTAACTCTTAACAGACTGTTAAATCTGACCTGAGGTTAACAATGTGGTCTTCATGGTTCCCTCTGTTCAGATGGACGTCATTCGGATAGACCAAGAGAAACCCGAACAGGATGAGCAGGATCTCTAAGGAGTTTTTCCCACGATCCACAAAGTCTCCATTGAAGACATACGGTTTCTCAGAGGATGGCAAACCATTCTGGACGGGTTAAATTAAAGATGTTAATTTTAATGAACATTCCTGTCTGACCATACGATGATTCGCAGGTTGTGAATACCTTGTAGAAAATCAACAGCAGATCTTCAAGATGCCCGTGTAAATCTCCTGTGAAAGAAAGAATGATGCATTAATATTCATGACAGTGGGACTTCACTCTGAATGTTTTAAGGGGAGTGAAAAGAAGCAAAACTTAGTACCGCAGATTGTAATCTCCTTGGTATGGCAGGCAGAAACTTGATTGATATTTGGAAGAATCCTGAGGAGTCTCCAAGTCTCTCCAAGTAGCTGCAGAACATATCGAGCATGGAGCTGCTACTGGGAAAAAAACAGGTATGATTAAACTGAGTGCTGAAGGCAACCATTAAATACTTGTGTCTTCATGTCTGCTTTGAGTACCTGCCATGAGTGTGCTTTATGCGCCTGTATACCTACTTGTTTGTGCTTGAAGGCCTCCACCAGCTTCGACACCCCACAGAAGGTCATGGGGAAGGTCAGATGGGGGCCGGTGTAGCTGTCGGGTACCTCAATGTCCTTGTAGCAAAAATATCTCTCCCATTCTATGTCACGACAGATTTCATTCTCACGAAAGATGTGAGATATTAGGTTTCCTACATTAAAGGCAAAGAGGGGAAGAGCAGGAAGAAGATTAGTGCAGTAAAAGAAAGCCACATTACGGGTGAGCTCAGATTAGCTCACTGTCAGTAATCTAATGAAACCTACAAGTTAGTGAATTAAACAGTCAGTCTTACTTTCACTGCTGGCTGGGGTGAAGTGGTCCATCAGGAAGCCAAAAAAATTGTAGAGCTGCAGGAAGGAAAACGAATTTTAAGGTTAAAGGTCATTTGCAAAAGATTAATGAACAAGCTCGCAGCTCTGTGAGAGTTCTTTGAGCTAAATGCTTATGCGAGCATGCTAAAATATGCCCAGAATGATGATGTTTACCATATTCATCTCATTTTAGTGTTAGCATGCTAACATTTGCTAATTGGCACAGAAAGTACAGCTGAGGCTGATGGGGATGTCATTAGTTTTGCAGGTATTTGGTCAGAAACCAAAGTATTGGACAAACTGAAATGTGTATGAATAGTGATTGAGATTTTTCAATAAAATCCAAAAATGTGAACCACATGTTGCAAGAGGAAAAGTCAAGGGATCACCAAGATTATAAAGATGTATCCTATAGACCATGAATATCTTCAAATTCTTCAATTTCAGTCTATCCAAGATTTTTCATTCTGAGATCCACAAATGAGGAAAAGTCAGGAGATTCAACTCTATTTTATTTATATAGCGCCAAATCATAACAGAAGTTATCTGCTGTACATAAAGCAAGTCTAGACTGTACTCCCTATAAAACTATTTACAGGGACGCAAAAGTTCCCACCATGAGCAAGCACCAAAGTCAATAGGACACATACATACGCAATACATCCAGTAGTTGTTGAGATATATCAGTTGGACCAAAGTGGCGGACTGTCGGACAGACATTAGCATGGCAAAAATAACCTGGCACATTTGAGATAAACTGATATTAATTATGTTCTAACAAACTTTTTTTCCTCAAGTGTTCAAAGCTGTGTGGCCTCACCTTGATCTGGTCTTGCTCTCCTGCATATTCAATAGACTGGAAGATGTTCCACGTGCACCTGCGTCTCATCTCCAGCCGGGCAACATACTGACGGTACCAGCGCTGGATCAACAGAGCCGCTCTGATTGCTGATGATTGGGGGAGAAAAAGGAAGCACTTGGTCGTAATGATAAGGTAAGGTAATCTCCCACTACCAGTACGTTCATTCACCATGTCAGATCTAGACTGAAAGACTCACCAGTGGCAGCTTCACAAAGTGCATAAAAAGAGTAGAGAGAGAAACAATAAATCAAACACTGATAGCTGAGAGTTTTGAACACAAGATGTAAAGACGTGATTAAATAAATAAAACGCATATTTACCTGGAACCGAGAGACTCACTGAAAATGACAAACAGCAATGACACTGATGTTAAATTACTGCTATAAAAAGGAACATTTCTTTAAAAACTTGACTATTCACTAGAAGGATTTTGATAAAGGCCCTACCTCTTTCACATTTCTTCAGCTGTAGTTCTGATTTTCCCATGCCACATCCCATGACCCTTTGCTGTTTTCACCGTCAAAGACGAAGGTACTTTCATGTGAGAGTCTTGGATATTTGACCTAGTGTTTTGCAACCTGGAAATAATGCAATAATGGACCTCTTTATACAGTATAACACATTTTCCTTTTACTTAATCTATTTTACTACACACTTTTATATTAGAACAATTCCTAATATATATACATTTACAACATAAACAACATCAACAACAACATAAACAAACCTTCACAATTTGGAGAACTCCATTGTATTACTTATAATTACTGAACATAATTGCAAACATATGGATAGAATAAGCACTTTTACATTTAATTGAATGTCTAAAGGGTCTATTAAGACTAAATATTACCCAAACTATTATACAACAGAGTAATCACACTGCAAAATGAAAGCAAAGGACCAGGATTGGCCCAGGGGAACTCACCTGGCCACGTTACCTTTCTTTCATTACCTCCACTCACTCAACTTTCAAGCCACACTGTTACACTTTGAGCAGAAATTAAGCATGTGTTATCTCTTGGATTGTTCCATTTCCCAGGCACAGCAGCACAAGTCCTGGTGGCTGTATTGGTGTAATTGGATGTCCACCTCTCTGCAGCTACACACTCTCAGCCATCACAAACACACACTGACTGGAGGCTTGTAAATATCAGAGCTGAGTGTCTTGGACAGACCCCGTGATCACTTAAACAAAACAAGATGAAAGTGGATTAGGATTAAACCTTACTACGGCTGGCATCTACGCTGAATAAAGGGATGACGGCTCTGATAAAGGGCAGCAACTGTTTTGAAACGAGGTGTGTGCAGGCTTCAGCTCAAGACCTGTGTCATCGTCTCCGTTCTCTACCTCCATTAACAGCTGTCTCTCCATTAACTGGTCTGGACACGTCT